TGATTTTTCTTCGAGAAAGCAAATATCAAACGGTATCTTTTCTTTTCTGAATTGTTTAAAACCATCGAATAGTTCTTGTTCTTGTTCTTGAAGTTCTTGAAAAATCATTTAATTCAATAGCAAATCTAGATTCTTTAATATCTTTTTAAAATGAGTTTTAAAGTCGAGTATCAAAGCTGGGACATTTCAAGAATGGTTTAGTTAATTGGATTCTATAGTGAACTGATCCCAATATGTCTGTTCGACAGGCAGGCGCACAATTCTTGAAACTCGAACTTTTTCGACTGTAACTCAACGCCCAATTATTCATTTCCTCAGAAAATCTCCTATTTCTATGAAATTTCAAGTTAATTTCTGTGCCCAATTACAAGTTTTAGTTTAAAAACATAGTGGGAAGCTTTTTATAGTATTTTAAAGTTCAGTGGTACCAACCTCTCGACAGAATTGACACCTCTGAACTTCGAAGTTCTATAAAAAGCTTACCACTATGTTCTTAAACTAAAAACTGTAATTGACCCCACGGAAATCAATTTGAAATTTCATATAAATGAAATTAGGGAAAATGAATGATTGGGCATCGAGTTACAGTCAAATTGTGTGCCATAATTGTGCGCCATTCTGTATAAGCCAAAAGTAAGGCTAGTTTAGTTAAATTAAAACCAATGGCTTTCAATTGAACTTGCTTTGAAAATTTACCTTTACTTCTAGTCTAAAATATTGGTTTTGGTTTGGCTTGGCCCGGAAAATCGGCTCGAGGATCAGTGACCTAAGCCTAAGCCTAAGCTTAAGCCTAAGCCAAGCCTAAGTCAAGCCTAAGCCTAAGCCAAGCCTAAGCCTAAGCCTAAGCCTAAGCCTACGCCTACGCCTAAGCCAAGCCTACCCCTAAGCCAAGCCTAAGCCTAAGCCTAAGCCTAAGCCAAACCGAGCTAAAGCAAGGCAAGGCTAGCATACCAGGCCTGGAAAAGTCCTCAGTGCAGATCTGTTCTTAAAGTTTAAAAGCAAATCGATAACCAGTTTTATTGCAAGTTGCACTGTTTCTATTCGAAGCATTGGACATTTCTTTTCATTTTTCTCTTTTCACCCAATCTTGTCAATTTTTTTGGGCTCAAATTAGTCCAATATTCCCTTTTCTTTTTTCCGATAATCATTTGACCAATCTTTTTCTTTTCTCACAAAAAATCTCACATGCAACTTCTCAGTTTTTCTCTTTTCCCATGCTTATTCATTCAAGAAAACGAAAGGTCACGTATTAGGTAATCAGGGAAAAAAGGATACGATAGAATAAAAAAAGGAAATTTGGATCTAAAAGCTAAACAGAATCAGGAATTCACTTCGTTTCAAGCTTTTTGATTGACCTTTAGCAAATTTAAACGAACTTCTTTTTACCATTACACTTGCTAAGAAGCCAGTGTACCGAGATGCGGGCATCGACCTACACAAGCGCGTTCTGGTGATGGATATCTCTAAGCGAATGATGGCGGTGGATATCTCTAAGCGACACGCAAATAACTTGTTTACAACGCGATCAAACGCTTTAAAGAGTTAGGAACAAATTCTGATCGTCTGAAACGTGGTGGTAAAACGATCATTGTCGCCAAGGCTAATATCAAGAAGGTTCGAGATCATCTACGCTTAAAAGCCACTCGTTCGCAGGAGAGAATCGCAAAGAAGCTCGGACTTCAACCCTCTCAATTATTCTGTATGGATAAAAGCAAAAGCATGCTCGAAACCCCATCCAACAGTCGATTCTTTGAAGAAAGTCCTTGAGAAAGCTTGGGACGAGCTGAACACGCCTTGATACTGGACACGACACTGACACAGCTGGACACGCCTTGACACTGGACATGGACACAACACTGACACAGCTGGACGCGTTCCCAAAACGCCTCCAGGCCTGTCAAGGGAGATCTTTTTGTAAAGAAGGAAATTTTGTGTGTTAAATTATTGTATTAAAAACTTTGTTAAGTTTGCTTGATCTTGATAAGTTTTTGCTGTTTCGGTGCCATTTTAATTTCAGGTTGTCTTTAAATCCTCAAGTTCTTTAGTCCTCGTAATTCTGGATAACCCTGTAATAAATCAAAGGGAAACTTGTGACTATTCCACGTAGTTATCTCTAAAAAACGACGAAATAATAGGCATTTCAAAATTCTTTCAAAAGATATCTTAAAGCTATTAGATTTCTCTATAATTTTCCATTCATTTTCCTCATTTTTATCTTCATTTCTTTTTCAAAAATAAGGTGATTGAATTTGAAAAACTTTAAGCCTACTTAAGCCTAAAAAGAAACGAAACAAAAGCTCAATTTCTTTTTCGAATGACCAAAAGAACACTTCTCGCATTTTGAAAGTAGAAAAAAAAGAAAAATTTTGTTTAATTTTGTTCAATTTTGTTCAATTTTCCGACAGAATTTTCCGATAGAATTTCCCTTTACAGGGTGCGTCATAATTATTGCAACAAGAGTTCAAAGAGTTTGAGCTTAAAATTACGTCTTACGCTAAAATTACGCTTAAAATAGAGTCTTGTTGAAAATTTGGCGTTCTTTTAGTTGCCCTAATTTGATTACAACGTATTCATATCAATTTATCAACTGGCTTGCCGTATACAATTATAATTTTCTCACACTGGCAAAGTATTGTCAATTGATGGTTTCAGTCAGGTGTTTTCTTATTTCCCTTTACAGGGTGCGTCATAATTATTGCAACAAGAGTTCAAAGATCGTTTACCAAACAGCTTTCTTATTTTTTTTGCCCCCTTTTTTGTTGTGTTGCGTTCGATCTTCTTTATTCTTGCCTAATTGCCTCCCGCTCACACGAAGAAGACGGTTCAGGACTGGTGTGTGGCCAACTTTCCCTCAGTGATCGCCAAGGATGAATGGCCTCCAAACTCACCGGATCTCAATGTGATGGACTTTTCCATTTGGGCAATCTTAGAGGCTAATGTCTGCTCTCGAAAACACACAAGTTTGGATTCTTTGAAGAAGTCTTTGACCAAAGGATGGAAGGCGACTCCTCAAGATGACATTCGGGCCGCAGTGGAGGCATATCCGAACCAATTAAGGGCTGTTATCAAGGCAAAAGGCGGTCATATCGAATGATCTCTTGTTCCCTTATTTGTTACCGTTAAATAACGCTATTTCTGTTTAAAAATCTTCTTCCAGTGAAACTTCTTGGTGTGTAATGCCTTGAGTATCTTGTTGCAATAATTATGACGCACCCTGTATAAGTCCTTTGCATTGAATTGTATTGAAACGCACTCTTTCTGACGCATTGAATTCATTTTCCTGTGACCCAGATGATCCAAGAGTAAAAATCTCTACTCTATTTCAATTCTAATACCTCAAAAGCTTATCCTTTTTCTTTGTAAACCCGTTTGAAAGCTGATTCATGCAATGTAATCTCTCAGCTTTGATTTCCAACTTACTTTCCAACAACTTACACTCGATTTTCTCCATTTCCTTTCATTTACAAGTCTTATAGTCGCCTATTTTTTCTTTCTAAAGCCAATCCTTTCTTCAAAGTCCACTCCTTTCTCTCTATTGAACCACAAATCTCTATTGAATTAAAAGATTAGAGAGACTTTTTTTTGTATCTTTTTGTGTTTTTCTCACTACGTAGTTGTTTAATAAATGGGAAATATTTTTTCATTTACTAATCGTATCATTTATTTTGTTTTAACTCGTTTATAGCTTTATTTCTGAAGTAGTTACTATCTTTATCTTACAATGACAGCTATTCTCTAGCTAAAATCAATCCATTTGATTGATCAATCAATCAATTGCATAAGTATTCTCATTTGCATTGATTTGTTAAGCCGTGATCACTCTATGAAGCTTTAGCACAAAGATCTTTTACATAAAGATTAATCTGTTCTTATTGCTTTAATCTCCGATACCAGTTCCATTGAAGTCATCGAGATTAATCAATTTTTGAAATAAGTACGGTTTGTAGAAGCTACAGCATCGTCACACAGCATCCTTTTTCTTTGTAAACCCTTTGAAAGCTCATTCATGCAATGTAATCTCTCAAATTTGATTTCCAACTTATCACACTCGATTTTCTTCATTTCCATTCATTTGCTAGTCTTATAGTCGCCTATAATACTTGTAGTCGCCTATTTTTTCTTTCTAAAGTCCACTCCTTTCACTTACTGACGAGATCGGCGCACATATCTTTATTTTGTTCCCCCAATGATGGGGGAACAAAATAAAGAACGAAAAAGAAGACTCAAAGCGAAAGCTTTCCCTTGTTTCATCAAAAGCTTCAAGCAAACCATTATCTTTACTCAATCAGCAAAAAGCAAAAAGCAAAAAGCTTACGACACTCGGGATTCCCAAACCGTCTCCGATCCAAGTACTAACCATAGATTCTCGGCGAACATCCCAAAGATTGGGGAACAAAATAAAGAACGAAAAAGAAGACCCAAAGCGAAAGCTTTCCCTTATTTCATCAAAAGCTTCAAGCAAACCATTATCTTTACTCTATCAGCAAAAAGCTTACGACACTTGGGATTCCCCAATCCGTCTCCGATCCAATTACTAACCATAGATTCCCAGATCCCAAGATGAGGAAGAAAAGAACGCAAAAAAAATGAATTTCTTTAATTTCTAGTATATGTAAATTTAAAAATAAAGTTTCTCTATTTAATGAGAAGTTAAAGTGTCGTAAACATGACTGAAATAGTCACAGATGGGAAATTTCTAGTTCTATACTGTTTTCTAAGACTTTGCTGCAGAAAACACTTTCAATACCATTAAAATTTTGTTTTTTTCAGTACTTTGTGCTTCCTCTTAAAAATTCCACAAATTGTTTATACGAAAAGGCCCCAAAATCACACATCTGTGATCTAAAAGCTTCCCCAAAATTCCCTCTTCCCCCCAAAATAAATCTTCTCGGCAAAAAGGCACGTGATCGAGAAAAAGAAAAGAAAAATCGTTTCATTTTCATTAAACAAAGTCTTTTCATTTAAAGATATTCAATCTATTGATGAATTCCAATCAATAAATGTCGTTTCTTTCAGGCATTCTGGCCTCTACTTTACCGACGGCCACCCCGCCCCCCGTGGCCGTCGTCTCTCTTCTTGACGGGGTAAGTTTAAAGATTTTTTGGAGTTTAATAATAATTATAGATTTAGTAGGGATACTGTAGAACGGTTTGCGAGGTTTTTAGTTAAAGAGAAAAACTTATAAGTCTGTAAAAAAGGCTTGTAAGCTGACATGGTAGATCATGGTAGAACCCAGATCCAGATCCAAGTAAATCCCAGATACAAATTCAAGTAGATCCCAGATCCAGATCCAAGTAGATCCCAGATCCAGATCCAAGTAAATCCCAGATCTAGATCCAAGTAGATCCCAGATCTAGATCCAGATATTAAACTGCCGAAGAAGGACGCTAAGGTTAATAAATGGCTAATTGTGGTTAATAAATAGATTTTGAACCGCTCTTATTTATTCTTTAATCTCTTATCTAAATTTTCTTAAAGTTTTAACATGGTTAGCGATATCGGCACTGAGATCTTATCTACTTTATGCTATTGACATCGAGATCTTAGTTGAATTCGTACTAGTACCGTACTAATGTAATCAAATTCAATTGCTAGACTAATCATTGAACAGATCTGAGCCGTAAATGAGCTAACAATAAGCTTTTATCTACGGATTCTAGACTTTTTCTTTTGATCTTATGATCAGTGGAATTAATTTTGACTCAAATACGGCTTAAACAGTTCAGATAAAGCCTTTTTTTAGTAATAAAATGTAATAAATAGTCATGGTACTACGTGTGCTAGAGATGGGAATGCTTAAAAGAGTTAGTAGATGAGATTTGAGAAGTTTGAGAAGAAGAAGAGTTGAGAAGAAGTGAAAGATCGTGAAAAGAAGAAGATTTGAGAAGAAGTAAAAAGATCGGGAAAAGAAGAAGAGTTGAGAAGAAGTGGAAAGATCGTCTAGCTCAAATATCAACTCCCTGGGGAAGCCTCAAAATACACAAATAAACATAAAACTTAGATAATTAGTAAAAGAAATTGATAAACAAAGCAGAAGTTTTTAGAATTCTAAAATATACCCAAAGTTACTCATTTTTTAGGGTGAACCGATGGCTGGAGTCGAGTACATTGCACATGTTGTCGTCATGCCCATTGTGCTCACAATTGGTGAGTGCTCATAATGTAAATTTTCCTATTTTCGATTTCAGGAATGGTGAATCAATGCCTGAATATTTTCACTTTACTCCATTTACCCTCAACGGCTTTCCTCTATTTGAAAGCCTCCGCGGTGGCTGATATTCTGTCGATTCTCTCGTTTATTCCATTCTTGATACGACATGCAGGTGAGAGAAAAGAAAAATGAAAAGATTCTAAAAAAAGCTAAACATAAATGACAAGAGTCATTAAAGGTGAGATTAAAGGATCCAGAATGAAAAGAATCCAGAATATTACAAGGGAATAGTCAAGGAATCTTGCAAGAAGCAAAAATGAATCTTGCCAATCAGGCCAAGTCTAAACCAGGTCTTTAGCCAGAGTCAGGACTAAAAACAGGTTCAGCTCTAGACAGGATCAGGTCAAGGTGAAGGCCAACTCACATTCAGAAGTAAGCCAGGGTTTGGCCAGGTCCTGACCAGATCCAGGATTTGCTCCAGATCTGTCTACAGAGTCCAAGAGCCAGCCAAGAGTCAGACCTAGAGTCAGGCCTAGAGTCAGACTTCTGTCTTGGCTTACAGACCCTGCTTTACAGTACTTTTACATTTTACTTAACTTGTTCATAAAGAGCTTTAAAGCAGATCATATACACTCTATTTTTCTAGAAATTTGAATCAATTAGCTTTGAGATAGCAAACGATCGGCTTTACATTTCAGGCCTGCACAACCAATACTCTCATCTCGCAATGTACTACCATGCGCATCTCGAATTGCCCATCATCAACGCTCTTATTGCTGCCAGGTTCTTTTCTTATTCAATCGTTAAACCCTTCAAATTTCAGTGCTTTATGTATAGTTGCAATGACGATCGATCGATATTTATCCGTTTGTCATCCGATCACTTTTTTCAACTCTTCTGATTCAAAGGTTATCAATAATAAAGTCTGGAATCAATTTCCTTTTAGAAGAGAACTCTTGCTGTCATTGCGGGTCTCTATTTGACTGCTTTTATCGTTTTCTTTCCATCGATTTGGCAAAAAGATTTAAAAGAGAAACGAGAGGATTATACGAACAGGTCAATAAAATATTATGGTAGTAGATCTACTATTGAAAAGTTGAAAGAGCAAAAGATTGGGCTCAGTTCGAACGCAGGGTTGTGACAGAAAAGCCAATGAACTTGGCTAGACTAGCTCTAAAAAGCTAGCAATTTGGCTTGACTAAGCCTAATCGAATGGGAATTAAACTATGGCTTTGTCCAGATCTATTGGGTTGGGGAGAATGAGTCGGCGCCGAACTTTAAAGGGACTTTTTGCACACATAAAGCCTTGTTTAAACATACGTTTGGTTTGATCAAAAGGATCCACTATTTCTCTACAAAATGAGAGATTCCACAAAGCTTTTCTTTTGTGGAGTTTATGAACTTCGAAACGCAGCTGGTTAAAATGGCAAAGAGTCCGACTCATCATTTGAACAGTTTCTTTCACATAAACCTTCTTTGGTGTTTATATAAAAAAGATAGAGCACATTGAATTACTTAAGTTGCCAAATTTGCAGGAAGATCCCACCAATGGTTTTTTCTAGATCACAGTTTGTAGTTTTTGTGAAAAAATCGCTTTTTCTTGAGCGGAGGCGCTGTTTGAATTTTCTTTTAAATGTGATTTTGTAGAGAATTAGTTAACCATTCTACTCATATCAAACGCATATTATTTGACGAAGTCGAATTGAAGTTTTAGACATTTTTTTGATTTTCGGCGCCGACTCATTCTCCCCAACCCAATAACTTACTGATCTATAGGCTACAAAAATCTTCAGATTAGCTTTAAAACATTCTTAGATACAGCCCAGGTTCGACCTCTGGCTATTCTGGAGATTTTTGTAGCCTGTAAATCTCTAATCAATGTGTAATCGAATCAAATCAAATCTCAAATCTGTAAATGAGATCAGAACAAAGCCAGAACCATTTGCATTCTGATAATTTCTTTAAAATTTAGGATTCAGTTCGAATTTTGCCTTTTTTATCCGTGTCTTAGCAATCAATTTAAGAAAAAAAAATCAAAGTACTCTGATTTTTCGCTGACCTTTACCTTTCCTAAAACTTTTATATTATGCAAATTTTACTGTAACTTCATTTTCAGACTCTACTGGGTTTTGGAACGAAATTCGGTCATTGAACGATCGCCGACTTTTCAATTTTATCTATACTTTCGAGAGGTTTGAATGGGAAAATTTTGCGCATGAAATCTCTTGAGAATTAAATTGCTTTTTAACTTTTTATCATTTTAGTTTGTTTCCCGATGGGGACCAATTTTGATTTTGGTTGTCCTGAACGCAGCGATGATCCGAAAATTGCGGAAATTAGACAAGAAAACGTTGAGGTGAGTGTATTTTGATGGTGAAGAAGCTATTATATTGTAAACCTTGAGATTTTAAAAGGTATTTCTTTTCGATGTACTTATAAAATTGTTTAGAAGAAGCATTCGGCAACGATCGTGTAATTTGGGTCGATCACCGCGAGAGGATCGATCAAGAATATCCGTTTTGTTGTTGGTGAGTGAAGGGAAAATCGAGTTTTCGGTTTTATTGGGTTGGTGAATTGAAAACTGCGAGAGTTTTTTTTAAATTTATTTATTCAACATTTAAATTTAAACATTTTAAAATTTATTCAACATAAAACCATCAATTCATTCCAATTAATTTCCATTATTATTGACGACTTCTGCCCATTTTACAGGCAATTTGCGGATTCCTTTTTCGTGGTAGGATTTTGGTTTGTGTGTGAGACTCAAAAATGGAGGACTGGAGATGTCCCAGTTTGGGCACTTTGTTCAAAAGAAACCCATTTTAGTGTCAATAGAAGAGTTGTAGAGAGTCAAAAATTAGGCATATAGCCAAATTTCCAAAAAGATACACTTAGTAGTTTTGCTTAAAATGCAAGTTTTGTTGCAGGTTTTGTGAAAATTCGTAAATTTGGCATTTCTTGAAAACCAGTTTTTGAATCGTTCTGAAAATTTGGATATAAGCTTGATTTTTGATTCTCTACAACTTTTCCATTGACACCAAAATGGGTTTCTTTGGAAGAAAGTGCTCAAACTTTCACATATGACAATAGCCCGCAGTTCTCAATTCACCAACCCAATAGTTAAAGAATCGAAAACGAAAACGAAAAATTAAAGAAGATATTATGTGCCTATCACAGTTTTAAAATGAAAATCTATTGTTTTTATATTGCTGAGTTGATCAAAATGCAAATTTGCCCGCCTGGAACTTGGGGTTTCAATTTTTACCTTTAAAAATAAGAAAATTGATTCAAAATGATTTCGATTTTGGCCAAAAAGTAACGGCTTTTCCGAGATTTCAAAAGCTTTTCAGCTTTCAAAGACTTTTGATGCTTTATCCCTGCCTTAAACCCATAAAAATATGCGTTTCGAATCTTTTAAAAGCACAATCTACTTTCAATCGAATCTGACAAAGCAAATGATTTGAAAACAAAAAAGAAACGACGACGTGGCGCTCCCATCGACTACCTCCAAATGGCGGCGACGTCAATTGGAATGCGGCGTTGCGCGAAAATTGAGCTTTAAAAGGAAAATCTTTTTGGAAATTTGGATATAAGCTTCGTTTTTGATTCTCTACAACTTTTCCATTGACACCAAAATGGGTTTCTTTTGAAGAAAGTGCTCAAACATTCACATATGACAATAGCCCGCAGTTTTCAATTCACCAACCCAATAGTTTATCGAATCAATCTATCTGTCAGTATATTACAATATTTACGGTTAGAAACAGGATGCCCGAATATTTATAAAAGCCAAAGCATGCAGCTCTAGATAGCTAGATAGATCTGCTAGATCTGCTTAGAACTGCTGGCTAAGTTGGCGTATTAATGTAAACTAGATTCAAACTAGATTCAACTTACATTGAATATCTATAGAATTGAATATTCAGGTGACAGCCACGACATTCGTCATTTGCAATCTCCCCGCTTCATTCCTTTCAATGTTCATCTCAAATTCAATCATCAAAATCGAAATCGATCCAAAAACTGTTTTCTGGCAGAGTTTTCGAGCGCTAAGCAATCTCTTGCAAACTACCAGGTAAATTTAAGATTTAATCTAAATCTAAAAACAATTTTCAGCTATTTATACAATTTCTATTTGTACGCTCTTTGTTCGAGTGAATATCGAGAAGCTTTTCGAAAATTGATCGGCTGTCAACAGGATCGCTTGATGAAGATATTCGCTTTCTTGAAATCGACAAGCTCATGTGTAAGTTTACTTAATATTATGTAAACAATTGTATAGAATATAGTCTTTAGTCTCCTCTTTAGTTTCTAAATCTCCTATTTCAGGCCACTCAAACAACGGACGATTCTCCACCGAAAAAGGGAAGTGGAAACATTCCACTTGTGTCGAAGAAAAATGGGTGTCCTCCTGAGTTGAAAATGTGAGTTTATAGGATTTCTATCGTTTAAATGTAGGTAGAATTCCTATCAAACATTCAAATATTTCAGATAACCAAAGCTGATAGTTCTAAGTCTTACAGTTAGACTGTTCAAAAAGCCTTTTCATTCCTTTTCGTACTTTCGTTTAATACCAACAAATGCACCAATTGAACTACTGTTTATTCCATTAGAAAGGCCACTTATTTTCCCGTAAAATAACATTAAAACGAGTTTCAAATGTCTTATATCTGCATCTTTTTTGGAACCGAGAAGTCGGCTAGTCAAAAATGGCTCGACGATGCGGACACTTTAGCTAAGGAAACCTATTTTTGTGTCTTGAGCTAAGGAAACCTATCTTTGTATCAATAGATAAAAGATAGAGCACAAAAAGTTTAGTATACAGCTAAATTTTCAGAGAAATTCATTCACTCAATTTCTTCGTAGAGGTTTTTAGAGATTTTTATAAAAAACCCGTTTGCTCCTCTTGAATTTGCTTGTAAGTGAACCGAAATTGACGGATGGAAATTGAAAAAAAAAACACAGGAAATCATAGGTTAATTGGTGAATTGATTATTTTTTAAAAGAAGGATGAAAGGGAATGGAAAGATTTTCTGGAAAGTAATAGCTTTCAATCATTATCCACATTGATAGTTAGAAATTCAAGCGCTCAAGCAAACCATTTTTGCCGCTAACAATCAAGAACTTACCTAACAATCGAAAATGGAAAACAGTCTGAAGTTTTATTGTTTAATTTACGGTTGTGATTGATAGTTGATAAGCAAGTGTTGTTGGTACTAATCGATCAATAACATAGTTATTGATAATATCAATAGCTCTGTTTTGAGGTCAGTGGAAGATATGATTGATTGTATCTGTGATCGGTTATCTGAAGTAGTCAAATTTTGTTCTCCATCCACAGAGTTGATCAGCAGATTCACTGGATCCTTAACTCCTCTGACTTTCTATTTCAAACCGTAAATTCAACGAATTTCAAGACTTATAAATCTCAGGGGTACTTGTCGGTTATATCCACAGAGACTCAACTCGGTTAAGCAAGGAGCTGACAACTTGTGAGGGATGATTATGTTCAGTGAAGTAGAGTGCTGAAGTGATCAGTTGAAGTGATCAGTCGAAGTGATCAGTCGAAGTGATCAGCCGAAGTGATCAGTCAATCAGTCGATAACCGAGAAGACTCGTATGGGGATGCTTAACCGAGTTGAGTCTTTGTGGATGTATAACCGACAAGTACCATCTCAGGTCCAAATACAAAGAAAGTCGAACTATAAAGCTATCGGTCAAAACAGGACTTCCAAAAATCTCAAATTTTCACACTTTTCCTTAATCATTCAATTTTAAGATTCAATGAAAACGAGGAGATGTTGACGGCGGTGGCAATGTAAGTTAAATAAAGAAAAACGATTGTTCACCTCGAAGCAATCGAAGACAGATTCAATTTTCAATTCCAAAACATCCCAAATTCTCTATTTCCGGTATTTTATGGGTGACATTTATTTGTGATTTGTATTCTTTTGTTATCTTTTCAAATTCGATCCAGATCTCGTTTTTTCCAAAAAAATTGTTTTCTCTCCATTTTTGTTCCTCGATTAGGCGGGTCCAAATTTTTCCTTTTTTTTTTTGTAAATTTCATTCTCATTTCTATTTCCAAATTGTGCTAGGTTCAAAAATTTCTCGTTTTTTCATTTTCGTTTTTTGTCTTTTTGGTGCCCAGATTTTTTCCTGCGAAAGTTTAATGATCTCATTGTTTTTCTTGTTGATTTGATTTTTGATCTATCATGTATAATGAATAATAAAGTTCATTAATATATCTAAGAGGCATTTGATTAAATTGATTGCAAGTTTTGAACTTGTTTGAACTGAAATGAACTAGTTTTGGGCGCGCAAAAGCAATGGGTCATGGGCACTGATTAATTCAGACACTATGCGTCACCGGATCTTGAAAGGAACCTCGAAAAATCGGTTTAAATCGAGACTAATTCACTAGGATTACGACAATTTGAAGTTACAATACACTAGAAAAACAGTTTCCATGTTTCCACGTTTCCACATTTCCACTCTCAATGCTACAATAATGAGTCACGTAAAAGAAAGGAAATTTTGCCGTAAAATTTTCCGTTTATCCTCAGTGTTTACCATTAAAAGAGACAACTCCCCTTTTTCAAAAAACTTTCATTGATTGGAAATGCTTTTTTATTTCTTTATTAACTACTTCGTTTTTGATTAGTGCAAAGCCAAATAGGCATATTTAGTTATGCTATGCTTGATTTCGCTAAATGCTCATCTTCAAGCCTAGACCAAATAACAAAATTATATGGTAACTCAAATCCGCGCGAAATGGTGTTCTCTATCAGTATTTCACGTTTAAATATATATTTCGACGCAGAAAATTGTGCTGAATCGAATGGTGAAGAAATTCTCGAAATCCGTCTGTCTCGATTTTTTAAAATCGCGTTTTATCGAAAAAACCACACTTTTACAATGAACTCGCTCGCCGCGACCAACTTTCGGTGGCTCGTTCTCAGCGTGATTCAAAGATTGCGCCCTCAAAATCGATAACTTTTGTGTGGACGTGTGCAAAGATCATTTTGATACCAAAAAAATAAAAATTGATCAACTTTGCGAAGACCTGATGCCTTTTAAAGTTGAAAATGACGTTTTTTGACTTTCTGCCCGCTAAAATGTGGACAATCTACGTGACGTGCAGACAATCTCGGGTGTGTTTTCAGTTTTACATGCTTAGGGAGCTAAAACAAAGCAAAAAACCGCATTTTGGGCGTGTCCCGTATTCGCCCATTTAACCAAAAAGGCAAAGGCAGAAGAGATCAATTTTTATTTTTTTGGTATTAAAATGATCTTTGCACACGTCCACACAAAAGTTATCGGTTTTGAGGGCGCAATCTTTTGACCACGCTGAGAACGAGCCACCGAAAGTTGGTCGCGGCGAGCGAGTTCATTGTAAAAGTGTGGCTTTTTCGATAAAATGCGGTTTTAAAAAGTCGAAACAGACGGATTTCGAGAATTTCTTCACCATTCGATTCAGCACAATTTTCTGCGTCGAATGGATATTCAAACGTGAAATACTGATAGAGAATGTTTTTTTTTTGCCTTATTTCGCGCGGATGTGTAACTCCCTTTGCAAGACTACGTGTGATCAATGGTAACCTATCCCTTTAGAAAAGAACTTCAACAGTAAAACTCCATGTTCTTCATTCTTCTAATTATCGTTTTTCCCGCGTTAGCTCAAGAAAGCCTAGATTGCGTACAAATTCTCGGAAAGCAGAAACTTTCCCACGGAAATCTTTTGTTCTTTTAAGATTATAAACATTTTTCCCAATCATTTTCTTTCTACGATGTTTTACAAGAGATTTTTCATCAAATTTCATCGAGATTTGATCCTCTTATTGGTGATATCAATTCTACTAATAGGTCACATTTCGTTATTATAATTGGAAAAGAAAAGTGAATTCAGGGTTGAGCACATTGTTGTTAATTGTGTGTGCTCTTTTACCGCGTGTCGGTAGCACGACAAGCGTTTTCTCATTTCTGCAAACTTCTCGAGCACTGAACACAGCATGTGCCTGGGTAATTCAACAAAAATCTCGCATAATTTTTCTCAAAAAAATCATTCAGTTGATGCTGGTCAGTATTCCGTTGTGTGTGCTTTCCGCTTTTTTTTCAGCTACAAACGATCGACTAACAATATCAATACGGTAAAGCTTACAGTTCTGTAACAGTCCAGAAAATGAGTCTTGCTTTCATTGTTTCCATTCAACTCCCCAAACCATCTTACAGTTAGTTTTGGCCTTCATTATGGTCCAGCTACGAAAAGTTCCGAATTCTCCACTCGGCTCGCAAATATTAGGTTGGTGAATTGAAAACTGCGGGACTTTGAACTAAAATTTATTGAACATAAAACCATGAATTCATTCCAAATAATTTCCATGATTATTGACGACTTCTGCCCATTTTACAGGCAATTTGCGGATTCCTCTTTCGTAGTAGGATTTTGGTTTTTGTGTGAGACTCAAATGGACCCAAAAATGGAGAACTGGAGATGTCCCAGTTTGAGCACTTTCTTCAAAAGAAACCCATTTTGGTGTCAATGGAAAAGTTGTAGAGAATCAAAAATTAGGCTTATAGCCAAATTTCCAAAAAGATACACTTAGTAGTTTCGCTTAAAATGCAAGTTTTGTGGCAGGTTTTGTGAAAATTCGTAAATTTGGCATTTCTTGAAAACCAGTTTTTGAATCGTTCTGAAAATTTGGCTATAAGCCTAATTTTTGATTCTCTACAACTTTCCCATTGACACCAAAATGGGTTTCTTTTGAAGAAAGTGCTCAAACTGTCACATATGACAATAGCCCGCAGTTTTCAATTCACCAACCCAATAGAAATTGATTGCTTTCTCATTTTAACACAAAATTTATCAATAAAACAAAAAACAACAAAAAAAACAAATAAAACAATACTTTTAATCGAATCTGACAAAGCAAATGATTTGAAAAGAAAAAAGAAACGACAACGCGGCGCTCCCATCGAATACCACCAAATGGCGGTGACGTCAATTGGAATGCGACGTTGCGCGAAAATTAAGCTTTAAAATTTGCGATAGGAATTCAAATTTAACATGAAAACTTCTCGAAAAACACATTTTTCTCTCTCTCTCTTTTTTTCTGGTGCTGAAGATTTTCAAATTTAGATCAAATTTAGTTTACTATTGACCGCCGAGAGTCTCAACAAACTTATTTATATCATCTACACTTCCTTGTGGAATTTTTGTGTACCGCCTAGGCTTTATGAATTCAGGCAAGTTTCTAAGGAGTCACCTTTTAAGCTTAAAATTACGATATCATAGAGTTTTGTTGAAAATTTGGCGTTCTTTTAGTTGCCCGAATTTGATTACAACGTATTCATATCAATTTATCAACTGGCTTGCTGTATACAATTATAATTTTCTCACACTGGCAAAGTATTGTCAATTGATGGTTTCAGTCAGGTGTTTTCTCATTTACATTTAAAGTTTTCGCTACAATTTTAGCAGTTTAATGATTTAAATTCTTCTAATAATCACAATGGGTAAACCACTATGAGGAATTTTAAGTAAAGTTCAAGAGTTCAAGTTGAGTTTAAGTTGAGTTTTTTGCTTTCAATTTATTCCTCGAACCTTTATATTAACTCGAGCTTTAGTATTTTGACAAATTTGAGTTGTAGAGTAAGTTGGAAAGTTCAATAGATTTGAATAAAAGCTTAAACTTTGTCTAGAAGTGTTTCTATATCCAGAAAACTAGATTCGGATTCAACACCCTTGATTACTTGAGAATAAGCTAATTTAGATCAGTTATTCGTATGGAAAACATATTCTTAAAAGATGTTAGGCAGATATTCTTAAAAAGTACCCATTGAACCCGTTAAAATTCGTTGGTTACTGTTTGCAAAGGATTCTCATAGGCAGATTTTCAGTCGTTTCTTTGCCGTCTCTTTTGATGGCACCTTATTCCAATATACAAAGAAATGGCCATTCCTCCAACTCCTCTTGCCATACGCTCTTGCTTTTGGTTTTCCCCAACTTGCCCGCCTAGTACCACAAAGTGTAAGCGATTCTGTGACGATTCATGTTTATCCGGCAATCCTGCTGCTAATGTGCTCTATGGACTTTGTGACAAATCGTAAAATGAAACAAGTTTGTCTTTTCTGTTTTTATGGTAAAGAAATTCTTTTTCATTTCTTAAAATTGTAAAATGCTTTACTATTTTTGGAAATATCACGTTAGAATTTATTGTTTGAATATAAATTTAAGCACTCAAAAGAAATGAAATTGTAAAGATGAGCTCTTTAATGTTGTGAATAATTCTGATTTAGTTGCAAAAGCACGGAAAAGCAAGGCGTGCGGAAAGTCTTCTGATGATACAGGTAAAGAGTAGGGCTCAGTACGATGTAATAGGCTATTACGGTGTAGAAGTGTCTCTTCTACACCGTAATAGCCTATTACACTATAATAGCGCTCTATCAGGCTCGTTGTTCTAGACAAAAGGTGTTTTAAGGTGCACTTAAAGTGGTGTTGCTTTAATCTGCTTGCTTTTTTTATGTCTTGGATTGTATTTTGCTCTTCTTTATTTGTTTAAAGAAATTAAAAAAGCCGAACAAACAAAAAGACAAAGCTTTTTTCTTCATCAAAGTCCGATAATCAGTGAAAAGACACAGAAGACTAAAGGAGCTTTCAACAGATTGCAAATTTCTTGATGATTTTCAAAGCCTTCCAAAGCTTTTCAAAGCCTTCCAAAGCTTTTCAAAGCCTTCCAAAGCTTTTCAAAGCCTTCCAAAGCTTTTCAAAGCCTTCCAAAGCTTTTCAAAGCCTTCCAAAGCTTGAATTCAGCTTCAGAATTTTCAGGAAAAGAAAGAAGATTTGAAGATTTGAGAATTTGAATATTTGAGATTTTTAACAGAATCATATTCCATTTTGACAGCCATTTTCGGTATGAAATTCTCCAACTCGAAGGCCTCTGTTTGAGAAGCTGAAAATCGATTTTTCATTCAAGAATTTCATTCAAATCATTCAAGAATTCGATTCGTTCTTTCAAATAGTTCTCAAAAAGATCTTCTTTGCAGCAGCTTTTAAAAGCTTTGAAACTCTTTCCTTTTGTCCGTTCGTAATTGAGTTGGACTTCAATTTCTTGGCAAAGATTTTTAACTTGATCGATAACTTGCTCAAGAATCGTATCAATCAAAGGATCATGAGATTAGCAATTTGTATTTTAGCTTCATATTTTAGCTTTAGCTAAGCCCAGAGCTTTTCAATTTCTTTTAATTAAGACGCTTTTATTTAGCAAAAAAAAATGAAAAGGATAAAAAAAGACAAAAATGAAGCTATGAAAAATGCAGATTTGTTGAGCACTATGTGTCATAAAGCGGTGATGAAATGTTGACTGAAAAGTTATTACAGTGTAAGAAGGAATTTGTCTATTACAGTGTAATAAGGCTATTAGACCTAGGTGTGATAAGGCTATTACACCTAGGTGTAATAAGATGGTGGTGATACCAGGCCCAGAGCTCGTAAACTTCCTTACCGGAAAGTCGACGGTGGAAAACTCAAAAAAAGCAATCTTGTGGGCACTGTTTTCTTCAGAAGAATCCAGTTTTGATGAAATTTTTGATGAAAATTCTACTATTTTGTAAAGAATTCTTTTCTTTATTTGTTATCATCAAAAATATTTTGATGACTTTTCCAAAATGATTCCATAATCGTTTCCTAATGGTTTTCGGTCAGCCGAAAGTTCCCCGGCAACCGGAAAAGCGTGAGAATGGCCTCTAAACTTTTAGCTTACTTTTAAAATAAATACTTTTGATACTAGTAGAAATTCTCTACAAAATGATAACATTTTCATCAAAAATGGAAGCCCACAAGATTGCTTTTTGAGTTTTCCGTTGGAGTTGGAAACTTGGAAACTCCGGTAACGGAGTATTGGGGCTCAAGAGTCTCAAGTTACTCCGGTAACGGAGTTTTAGGGCTCAAGAGTCGATTCCAAATCGGGGCTAAAAAACGGAGAATGCTTTCGGAAAATCTTCTGACTTTCAAGAGAAAAACAAATCAGAAAATCTTCTTCAAGCATAAGCAACTCTAAAAACTAACAAATTTCAGATGTTATCAAATACTTTCGTGATAATCATCGATACACTTGGCTACTCGTTGATCTATTTATTTATCCAGCTTTTCTCGAGAGATCATCTTCAATTGACGCTTTTTGGTCAACTAACGTCAATTGCTGAGGCTTTTATGTTCATTTTTCTGCAAAAGTGAGAAAAGGAAACCGCTGTTTATGAGTGATAACTGCTTTTAGCTTGATCATGATCTTTTTCATTCGAAAACGCGGAGAAAAGCCGAAAGAAAGAAAGAAGTTTACCCTTACTGCTTCGAATCTAAAGTAGTAGAGCTAAAAATAAAAAGTTTATCATCTGAGTGTTTTTGCAAACGAGGTTGAAAACAAAGATTGCTCAAAATGAAAAGTTTTCGTGAAAATGGATGGATTGGATGTTTTATTCGTGGTTAGCTCAGATTCTAATCTTTATCCATCCAAGTTGATATGCAAATTTACTACAACACTCCCAAACTTACCCATAGCTCTTCCACGATGAGATATGAATCTAAATAGTCGACAATATTCGGATCTTTAGCATCAATAGGATCTCTGATGATCAAGTCTTATAATATAATATACCACGGCTCTGATAAACGAATCTTTCTTTCTGAAATCTTTGACACTTTGGGTATTCTTGTGGATTGTCGTAGATGTCGTAGATGTCGAGAAATGTCGAGTGAAAGAGAGAAATGTCGAGTGAGCTCTGGTAAACGTATTGAGTGACCACTCCGGAAATCTAACGTTTGATACCTTTTCGAGACGTGGTTTTTTGGAGAAGGCTTGTTAGAAGAATATCTATCAAGTTTGGCATTAAAAGTTAGCTTGTCGTGCGGTCATCCGCTGCAAAAAATCTCAACGCATTACGAAAACTCTGCGCGGAGCTCGGACGTTTCTCCACAATCCAGCCTTAAGTCTTGCAGGTCTTGATATCCAGTCTAACCCTACCTCGATATTCTGTCCTGAAGGGAAACTACGGATTCAAAACTATTTTGTGTAGTAGACTGTTTTAGTTGGATGTTGGATGAAAAAGAGCTGCATGAACAGAAAGACTGTTGTGCTGAAGCCTCTTTCTTTCGATCTTTCGATCTTTCGGATCTTTCGAGCTCACTTGTTCAAACCGACTTTCATAAGAGACTCACCGTGTAAAGTTGACGCCGATTCGATCAAATAATTAAGACGAATGCTGCTCGAAAAAATGAAATCCGACTTGAGCAACGTTTTACAAGAAGGTGATTTTATTTGTTTTAATGTTTGTTAAAGTTTATGGCAGGCTGTCGGTCATTTTTCTACAATGGCTGTATAGGCTTTAACCCTAAACAGTCGATTTTCGGGTTGGACCGTACCCGACACAAAAATAGATCTATTACTTAAATACTATTCTTCAATTTTGTAAGTTTTTCCTTCAGACAATTACTATAACTCATCTTTTTTTGTTTAATTTATCATCCAAAAGTTAGAAGCGCTCAAAGTAGTGTGGTCGCCAGCAAAAATCCCTGTTATAATTTAAGGTCTAAAGGATTGATTTCCATAAGCTGTTTGGTTGAGTTTATCCTCCATAAAGCCGTGCACAAGGGTAGCACAGACTTTTCTTCAAAAAAGCAAAAGTTGGGCTCAGCCGGGGATTGAACCCGGGACCTCTCGCACCCAAAGCGAGAATCATACCACTAGACCACTAAGCCATGCAGGGGTGGATGAAAAGAACGGTTTTGTCGCGGAGGAGAATCGGTGGGAGAGAGGAGAGAGAAGGGCGCCAGAGGCGGTAAAGAGGGAAAAATGGAGAGATTAGAAAATAATAGGAGAGGCTAGGACATTTCAGAAGTCAGATCACTAGCTATAAAAGAGGTGTCAGAAAAGAAAAGAAGGGTTTTGCGGCAGAGGAGAGAGATAGGAGAGGGGAGAGAGAGCGTCAGAGGGGTTTAGCGGGAAGAAAAGGGAGAAATTGGAGAATAAGAGGAGAGGCTATGAAGTCACTAGACAACTATCCATAAAAGAGGTGTCAGAAAAGAGGTTTTTGAGTGCTGTGGAAGGGTTTCTCACTCGATTATCTTGTTTTACTGTTTTTCATAAAATTGGAAACGGCTAAACCATGCAAAGTGGAGGATTTTTGAGTGTTTTGGGGAAGAGCTATGGGTAATTTTGGGAGTGCTGTAGTAAATTTGCATATCAACTTGGATGGATAAAGATTAGAATCAGAGCTAACCACAAATAAAACATCCAATCTATCCACTTTCACGAAAACTTTTCATTTTGAGCAATCTTTGTCATGATTAGGCTATTCACCCTACTGTACCACTTTAGATATGATTTCTTCTACATAGTACGGTTTGACTAGCCTTTGATCTTTGATCTAGCCTTTTCCAAACAGATCATATTTACCGGATTTACTCGAATAGAAGACGGGTCTAGGGGTGGATCGAAAAAATAGTCTCGAATATAAGACTACCTCGAATATAAGACCACCTCGAATATAAGACCGATTTTATATTCGAGGTACCCTGTCTTCTATTCTGCGCGAAAGTGGCTCGAATACGGGAAAAGAATAAGATTTACCTAAATAAGTTAAAAAGATTATAATTTCATTTAATCGCACTATTTTTTGTATTTTACATCTCCTTGCATTAATAATTTTCCATTTGAGTTAATCGACAAGGAATGTTTTGAAAAACTTGAAGTTGGATACCATTGTGGTGCCTGGATGCTGCACAAAATTCATTCAGACACCAGACGTCTGTTGGAATCAGCCATTCCAAAGCAAATTTGATGCTCTCTACACTGATTGGTTATCGAATGGAACTAGGACTTTTACGAAAGGCGGAAATCCTTGGCCACCAGAAATGGATCAATTTCTACAGTGGATTGGGACAGCTTGGATTGTGGAATATCCAATGCAATTGTGGAATATCCAATGCAATTGTGGAATATCCAATGCAAAATTGTGGAATATCCAATGCATTGGATATTCCACAATTTTTGAAAGACAGACTTCTCGGTTAAGCTGGTCGCTTTGGATGATCAGATTGTTTGTTTCCGCAAAGGACTTTAGGAAAGCCTTTATCCCCAGAAGTGAGAACAGAACTTAAACAACAGAGGAAGCACAGAGGCCGTAGGACAATGTGGGAGAGAACAAACAGAAATCAACACCCTTATAAAGAACATCCTTATAAAGACATGATAAGTTACTCAATACACACAGCAAATGTCTATTCAGGGATACGGTAGAGAGTCTCCGGGTTAAGGATCTTAAATAGCGTTAGGGTAACTGCCTAAAAATCCAACCCCACCTCTATCAATAGAATATTTACTGTAACACATTGATCGCCAAGCTCTTTTTTTTAACTTTTTGTAGTTTTTGTTTAGAGAGAATTTAAGAGCTAAACTTTTGATTGCTTACAAAGATAAACAAACAAAATAAAGCATTGATTTTGGAAAAGAGAAAGTAGGGACTTCTTGTTTGTTTGAAATTTAAAAGAATTCGAAAAAACATTGTAGGAAATGAACTGAGATTGAGTCAAAAATCGTCTTCTCGTCTTCTTCTCCTTTTGTCCCCCTGGACTCGACTTTACACTGCACAAATGTTCACTGTCTCTTTTTGAGCACTCATTTGCCTATGAAATTTCTTATTGTGTAACTTTCAAAAAGCTTTTCTATCATTTACTCAATCAATTCACGTAATTTTGTGCTTTTATGGATGATGGATCGACGAATCTCTTTCAGCAGCATCTCGACGAAGTTTTGCTACATTGTGAGTGGAAATTTTAAACTCTTAAGTTACAAAAAACTCCTTAACAAAAGCAAAAACACATTAGAAAACTAAAATTATGAATGTTCAATTGAAAATTGAACTTTCAATTGAAATTTAAAGTGAAAATAGAAGGTTAAATGTTTAAATAGGATTTTCTGAGAGCTTTAGCCGCTTCTCAAGGATTTGTGTATCTTCTGAATTGCTAAATTTTTCTTGCAGATTTTAAAATTCAAATATAACATTAGCTTTTCAATAAGGATGAATTTCAGCCGACAAAATGGACTATCCATCGAAGATTCGAGTGATCGCAATCTTGGAGCAAATGATGATGGATGTAGGTGATGAGAAAGGGATGATGTCGGATGTTTATCGGGATTTGTTGATCGAATGTCCCCAATTACAAGATGTGGCCAAGAAGAAGGCCCTTCTCGACTCTCCATGTGCTCTCAAATGGTTCAAGAAGTACATCGAAGATATCACGGAGATGGCCATGGATGTCCCTGGTTTGTGGCTCACTTTATAAAGTTTCTTTTGTTGACTAAAACTTAAATCATTCAAGCGCCAAGCTTTTTCTATAAGAACAGCTTCTTTTGCTGTTTGCTCAACGTTTTTGAGATAATTTTTTAAATCCTTTTAAAATCCGTTTTAAATTCTTTAAAAATTTTTTAAAATCCTTTTAAAATCCAAATTTCTCTGAAAACTTTCCACCATTATTAGCTCTATTTTTTTGCCAGAAAATTATCCAATTCCGTTATTAACAATATGAAAAAAACTATTTTAGCTGCTCGAGAAGTTGAAACGGAAAAAGCGAATCCTTTGAGAGAAGTTAGAGAACTTAATGCTAAGGCTATTGATTATTAATTTGTCATTTAACTTGTACTTTTCTTGATAGTTTTAGAGTGGTTCTATAATTAGTTGAAGTAGTGTAGCTTCTTTTGTGTTTCTCAATGTTTTTAAGATTATTTTGAAGTCTTTTTTGAAGTCTTTTAAAATCCAAGTTTCTATGAGAACTTTCCAGCATTTTTAACTGTCTTTTGTACCGGATAATTGACCAATATCATTATCAAAATATAAAAATCAAATCGCTTTAGCCACCCGAGAAGTTGAAACGGAGAAAGCAAATCCTTTGAGAGAAACACTCACTGATGAGCTCGACTCGATGATCCAAATAAGCGATTTCAACAACTACATCTTTCTATTCCTTTTACTCGCAATATTGGCCTTCTTTCTATTAAGATTTTGGGCGAGAAGAGGTAGAGAATATGTTTATACAGAACAAAAACTTATTGATACTTTTTAGGTATGATTCAGATCCGAAAACTATTTCAATTTTTGATGCAAGTTCAAATAGCACTCAAAATAACGATAAAAATAAGCTAATTTTAGATTTATAATAGATGAACTCTTAGATTCTCAATCCGACTCCACTCGTCACTCAAAATCAAGCCGTACAAAGAAACTCAAGAACAAATAACGTATAGAATCTTTGTGTTTTAAAATAAAACTGCTAACTTTTTCTGTTTTAGCTTTCTTTACGCAAACAAAAACATATAAGATCTATTCAAAATGCAGATTTCAAATACCGTAAATACTGTAATAGTACCCCATCCCCATAATGACGGTGCGGAGTGTTGCGTAGTCTAGCTTTGAACGCGTTTTTCTCGACACTGGTTTATGCTACAATGCGCGCTTCGGTATCAAAAAATAGCGCTAAATTTCAGCTATTTTTTGATACCAAAGATGCATTTTTTGAAAGTACGGGTGCTTTGAAAATGAATACTAAAAAACTTTTGCGACTACGCGACTGTACGAGGGCTTGGGGTACTATTACAGTATTGACGGTAGGTTTCTTTCAGTAATAGCAAGCTTTTTTAATTTCTTCGAAGTCGGCTCAATTAAACTATCGAAAGAGATAGAATAGCAGAAAATGACAAAAAATAGAACACATCACATTATAAAAATTAACAAAAATCAATTTTCACATCATTATCGACAAAAAAGAATCAATCATATAGTAAAAATTGCTCAATTTCTTGACACTTTTAGAATTTCATTATGTGTTTTTATAAAAAAATCTTTATTTAACAAGCTCACAAACTTCAAAACGGGCAAATTGTGTGACGCTTTGGTAACCGGAGATAAACCGATTTGGCTACTCATTAAACGTTTTTTTATCCCCGGTTGAGCCTAATTTTGGCTTTTTTTGAAGAAAAGTCTGTCTTCAAGGGAGGATGTGCACAGCTTTATGAAGAGTTGAGCGTCTAAATAAGCTTTTAAGTTCCCGATATCATAATTTTTCTATAAATTCTAATCTTGCTGTAACTATAATTCACGATGTGCCACTCTCAACATTTGAGCGGTGTTTCGGCGACGGCGATGGGGACAGCGTTTCGACGTTTTGGGTGTACTGTACTTTGATTTAAGTGAAGGTATTTTAACTAAAAGTACTGTATTGTGGAGTATTCTAGTCTGGAACTAACTGTATTACAGATGAGACCCGATGGCAGCAAAGAAAATGATCGTCGTGAATGATTTGCCATGTCGATAAAAAAGACATTGACCGACGCCCGTTCCCAGGAAAACGAAAAAGATGGCGCCAATTTCCTAAAGGTTTTCAAAAGTTCTACTTTTGAATCTATCCATCATTCCATGTCTACTATATCAAAATCTATAGTAGACATGGAATGGGCAGGGGTTAAAGCAAATCCAACTCAATCTAGCCGGACCAGTTTAGAAAATGGGTAATGATACCTACAGTCAAGCATGTACACGTCTGTCGGTCCCTTCAACCTCGCCGGCTAACCTCATGACTTTGCTGTGTCTTTGTCAATGCTTGCTTGGAGTAGTAGGGATTAAGCCAAGCCAGTACTCACTATAAATGTCCCGCCTTTAGCACCGAAAACCAAATACATCACCCCATCGAGTCGATCGGCTGCAATTGGAAAAAAGTACTTGGGAAGAGGCCCATGAATGACAAGCTCGAAACCGGCTGAGTTGATCTGTAAAGTGATTTCCATTACTTCAAATTTATGTCAAACATCTTTTTCTAAGGTTAAGGGACTTTACTTTACTGGCTTGGTTATAAACAGCTTGGTTATCAATAGCTTGGTTATAAACAGCTTGGTTATAAACAGCTTAATTATAAACAGCTTGGACGGAGAGGTGGACGGAAAGCTCGAAAGAATCAATTCAAAAAGATGCAAAAAAAAAGCACAAATAAATTGTTTTTGTTTTTTTTTTCACATCAACATCAACATTTTATAAGCTGAATGATTAAAAGATTTATTTATTACTTTGGCAATGAATTTTATCACAGTGGAATGAAAAAAAGGACTTAACCGTTACTTTACTTAACCGTTACAACCGAATAAACATCACAAAACAAAAATAGAACACATCACATTATAAAAATTGGCAAAAATCAATTTTCACATCATTATCGACAAAAAAGAATCAATCATATAGTAAAGATGGCTCAATTCCTTGACACTTTTAGAATTTCTAATCACAGTGGAATGAAAAAAGAACTTAACCGTTACAACCGAATAAACATCACAAAACAAGATAAAAGCTAAGCTAAAATTTGCAACCAAAAGCTCAAAACTTCAAAATTATGAGCATTTGAATGCAAGACAAAAAGACAGTGAAGACTTTGTCTTCTTTCTTCAAGAATTTCAGCAAAAGCTTCAAGCTTTTGAAGATCCTCTTTGAGATCTTCAGAAAAGAATCCACGTCAAACGTCTTTGTGGCAAATGTCTGTAATTGAACTTTCGAATTGTAAATTTGAACATTTTAACTCTCAGGACTCTTGCCTGTCCCGCGCATTCCCGAAAAATTTATCATTTGTGTGCCACTATGCCGATGGGTGGCTGTAAAGGGTGTTGGGAGGCTCTTTGGAAATGTTTACACTATCTTGTTGTCAACCATTTCCCTTAATTTATCTGGTGCTAAGTGCCGGGATGAGTCTAAATTATGTAGGTCTCGACACAAGTCAACTTTTCCAACGACGCCTTCTGTCTAAACTCGGAATTCAGATTTGTTCCTCTCTTTGTCAATTTAGTATCCATAGCTAAAGATAGAATAACTTCGAATGGCTGTATCTAGCTTTAACTCGAGCAAAATATCACCTTCATACCACATTGAGAGAGCGGTTGAGATGCATATGACCGGGAGCATCTGACCAGAGAGACCTTTATTAAGAATATTTAAAAGAAACCAGGCCAAATCAGATGGACCATGGGTCTGGTTTTTATTTCCTCCCCAAGACCAGTTATTGATCGATCGACCAATTCAGACTCAGTGATAAGGTTTATGAAAGGAATCATTTACTCAGGCCAAGAAGAGGCAAGAAATTCTGATATCAGGAAAATCTCACTTCATTTCACTACGTACATAACAAAATTTCAGAGTCATTGATTTCCTTTTTAATTCGATTTATTCATGTCGCGATTTACAACAAGTCTTTCCGATCAATCAACTGTCTATTCGGCAAGAGAAATAAGGGGAAATTCTCAGCCGGAATAGATCGGTCGAACGAAGTATTGAGCTAGCTCCAGTGCTACAAACGAATCCATGGTATGGTAGAGAACTTTTAAAATCAAAATAGCGTTTAGGGCTAAAGAGACAAAGCCAGTATCACCTCCACGGAAATCTCCAACTCCACCGCCAACAAGCACCGGTGCCCAGGACAAATCCATGGTCTGGATAGACAAGACACGCTGTCAAAGGTACGATATGGCCAAGGGTCAAGAGTACAGCCGTACTATACCCACATGAGTTATTATATTAAAAGAATAGTTTTCTTTTGCTATGCGAAAGATTCAGGAATCAAAACAATCTCACCAACAACCAACCGAACTCTTCATTGCCATCGTATCATGCCTCAGCAACAGCAATGGATCCATGGTTAGCTTCTAGAAGTAATAGTTGAAAAGTTATAAATATCACTGATAAAGAATTGAATGAATCTTGACTCGATTGATAGTCGAAAACTTTAGGAACCGGGCCCCCAAACCACCAAGTCCTCAGACTTTCCCTTCTCCAGAATTTCCGCAATCCCTTCCACGCCATCCACTCAAAAACATTCACATTTAGAACCTGGAATACTTTTATATTGCATCCAAAATTAACCATAAATGATCAATATAAAAAGTAGTTAATAAATTGTTGTGACAGACCTTCTAGACGTTTCTCAAAAAGGATTACAACAGATTTGTTTCGTTGGAGAGGTCGATACATCTATTGCATTACGACTTTCACCACTTCTAATCGACTCATGGATGAATCTCCTGCAAAATTTCTAAAAGATTAATTATCTTATAATTAGCGGCAGTTACTATTACATTTATAGTATCATAATTATCAAAAACTAACCTTCTATCAGACAAAAATGCCGGGATTTGAGGGGGAAAAAGCCTTCAAATTTGCTCTCGCACCTAGAAAATCTAAGAAAAGAGCCAGAAAATGCTGACTCATGACTGACCACAGCGAAAAAGCTTCCAAAAAAATACCTGACGCGAGCCGAAGCCATTTGACCAGTGCCGTTTTTTTTCTCTTTACTCATTTTTCTCACACAATTTTATTAGGTTTATTTAGTTCTTTGTTTGGAATTTTATTTTCGACGATATTATGATAAATCACTTAAGATAGATGATAAAAACATAAAATCACACTTTTTCATTGAAATTTTTAGCTTCAGCTCCCAGATTGAGAAAAAATTAAATCAACTTTTGTAAATATAGCCATTTTTTATTATTTTATTCAATTTCCAGAGCCAAAAAGCCACCCACGAGATGTCGACAAGCCGTGTCCCTTGCCGGAAACTGACAACTCTTCGGTAATACAAAAAAACGAGATATTTGACTGCTGTGGCCGCAAAATTAACCTACCGTATTTCCTCTAATAAACGCCCCCCCCCCCTTGACCAACTTTGGAAGCTTCGTTCTCAGCTCCATTTGGAGATATTTTTATGTTTAATATATCAAAAGATAGAAGACATTAAGGGCTATCTTTTGATATATTAAACATAAAAATACCTCAAAATGGGGCTGAGAACGAAGCGTCCAAAGTTGGTCAAGGGGGGCGTTTATTAGAGGAAATACGGTAGGCCAACCAGAAGCAAAACCAGACCCATGGTTCATCTGATTTGGCCTGATCTTTGCAAAGTATTCTTAATAAAGAAATTTGCATTTATGAACTTAATGCATTACAAGCATCATATTTAGCGGGACGACTTCTCGACGTCCCGGACCTCCCCGACCAGGGCGCTCTCAACCTGCTATCAAGGTGACATTTTGCTCGAGTTAAAGCTAGATACATCCATTCGAAGTGATTCTATCTTTATCTATGGATATTAAATTAGGTTGACAAAGAGAGGAACAGTTGTAGATGACAATGCTAAGTTTGAGTTGTGCATTAACTTTCGAGAATAATTAAATCAAATAAACACTATTTGCAGGATGTGGTGCCGACTCGGCAATATTTCAAGAATTTCAAGGACAGAGCCGGAAAGTTTTGGGTGAGTGCACTCTCAAATCAGCTAAACAAACCTAGTTAAATGTATTAATGTGTCAAATGTATTACACGCAGATTAGAGCTGTCCATGCAGTTTGATGAGTTGGTTTTCGGACAGAAATGCAGAAACACACTCGCAATCCTCGGGCAACACTTACAATTAAAACTCTGTTAGCGTTCACTGTTTTCCGATTTGCTTTTACATTTAGCTGGCGATGCATAGGTTAAGGTTAAGTTAAGAGCTTAAGTAATTCTAATACAAAAGAGAACTCACTCATTACTTAAAGACTGACTTAAAGATAAGGTTTTCTATTTGTTCATTACTTTCCCGAGAGTTAAAATGTTAAAATGTACAGCCACCCATCGGCATAGTGGCACACAAATGACGGCCATAAATTTTTCGGGAATGCGCGGGATAGGCAAGAGTCCTGAGAGTTAAAATGTTCAAATTTACAATTCGAAAGTTCAATTACAGACATTTGCCACAAACACGGTCGACGTGGATTTAGTTCTGAAGGCCTCGATGAGGACCAAAAATCCCGAAAAAAAATCAAAGAAAATCAATCTCGAAAATCTCGAAGACACTCCTTGCCGAACCCTTGCCTTGGGTCTGTGCTTGGCTGTTTGCAAGACGGTTCTACTCTTTTGCATTTTCGGATGCATTTTTCACTCTTCCAGTAAACCTAAAGTTTCGGGGTCTTTCGAGATTAAATTTGAATTTTGAAATTTTAGCTTAACTTTTAACTTATTTTGTGATGTTTATTCGGTTGTAACGGTTAAGTTCTTTTTTCATTCCACTGTGATTAGAAATTCCAAATAAATAAATAAAGCTTTTAATCATTCAGCTCATAAAAAGCATGTTGATGTGAAAAAAACAAAAACAATTTATTTGTGCTTTTTTTTGAATCTTTTTGAAGTGATTCTTTCGAGCTTTCCGTCCACGTCTGCGTCCAAGCTGTTTATAACCAAGCTGTTTATAACCAAGCTGTTTATAGCCAAGCTGTTTATAATTAAGCTGTTTATAACCAAGCTGTTTATAACCAAGCTGTTTATAACCAAGCCAGTATGTCTGTAGTAAAATCTTTTAACCTTCGAAAAAGATGTTTGACCTCAATTTGAAGTAACTTTGGAAATCACTTTACAGATCTACTCAACCGGTTTCGAGCTTGTCATTCATGGCACTCTTCCCAAGTGTTTTTTTCCAATATAGTTAGTCGTGGCTCGGCTTAATCTCTACTACTGCAAGCAAACATTGACAAAGACACAGCAACGTCATGAGGTTAGCCGGCGAGGTTGAAGGGACCGGCAGGCGTGTACATGCTTGACTGTAGGTATCATTACCCATTTTCCAAACTGGTCAGATTAAAGGTCAGACTAGATTGAGTTGGATTTGCTTTAACGCCTTCCCATTCCATGTCTACTGTAGATTTTGATACAAGTACAACTTTTGAAAACCTTTAGGAAATTGGCGCCATCTTTTTCGTTTTCCTGGGAACGGGCGTCGGTGAATGTCTACTTTATCGACATGGCAAATCGTTCCCGACGATCATCGTCTTTAGTAAGGCTGTAGAAAGATAAAAATCTTGTGTTAGTTTCAAAAAGCGAACATGGATCTGCATTATGGTATTTCTGAATGTTTCTTGGGCCAGCCTCGCCTCATATTCTTTCCATCGATTCAACCTCGTTTTAATCAACGAGATATTGACGCTTTTCTTTGGTAGTTTAGCAAAGTCTAGATAAAAATCCATATTCTTTAGGAACATCCAGAGTTTTCTTTCGTTACCGACCAACAGAATACTTTTATTGGCCATCAATAGAATCTGATTTTTCCTCCTTTTATCAACATACCGGCCTGTCTAATTATTGTCGCCATTGTTGTCAATTCTTCGAGTGTCATACTTTCTACGGTTTGTCGGTTTCGAAAACTTTTGTTAAATGCTTTTAAAGTATTATTTTTATTATTTTTATTATAGTTATTTAAAGTTGAGTTGGCCTGTCGTTAATCAACGTTAGTTTACCGTATAATTTTGTAGGTGCTACAACATCGGCACTAGCGGTTGATCGGAATCGGACGCCGAATTGTCGTGTCTTGCCGATGGTGGTCATCTTGTCTCAATCCATGATGCATATGTAAATTCTACAAATCCACAATCTACAAATTCCCATTACCCCTTCTGAAAACTTTCCACCAATTTTAGCTATGTCTTTTTTGCCAGAAAATTATCCAATTCCGTTATTAACAATATGAAAAAAAACTATTTTAGCTGCTCGAGAAGTTGAAACGGAAAAAGCGAATCCTTTGAGAGAAGTTAGAGAACTTAATGCTAAGGCTATTGATTATTAATTTGTCATTTAACTTGTACTTTTCTTGATAGTTTTAGAGTGGTTCTATAATTAGTTGAAGTAGTGTAGCTTCTTTTGCTTTTCTCAACGTTTTTAAGATTATTTTGAAGTCTTTTTTGAAGGCTTTTGAAATCCAAGTTTCTTTGAGAACCTTCCAGCATTTTTAACTGTCTTTTGTACCGGATAATTGACCAATATCATTATCAAAATATAAAAATCAAATCGCTTTAGCCACCCGAGAAGTTGAAACGGAAAAAGCGAATCCTTTGAGAGAAACGCTCACCGATGAGCTCGATTCGATGATCCAAATAAGCGATTTCAACAACTACATCTTTTTATTTCTTTTACTCGCAATATTGTCCTTCTTTCTATTAAGATTTTGGGCGAGAAGAGGTAGAGAATTTGTTTATACAGAACAAAAGCTTATTGATACTTTTTAGTCGATTCAGATCCGAAAACTATTTCAATTTTTGATGAAAGTTCAAATAGAACTGAAAATAACAATCAAAATAACGATAAAAATAAGCTAATTTTACATTTATAATAGATGAACTCTTAGATTCTCAATCCGACTCCACTCGTCACTCAAAGTCAAGCCGTACAAAGAAACTCAAGAACAAATAACTTGTAGAATCTTTGTGTTTTAAAATAAAACTGCTAACTTTTTCTGTTTTAGCTTTCTTTACGCAAACAAAAACATATAAGATCTATTCAAAATGCAGATTTCAAATACCGTAAATACTGTAATAGTACCCCATCCCCATAATGACGGTGCGGAGTGTTGCGTAGTCTAGCTTTGAACGCGTTTTTCTCGACACTGGTTTATGCTACAATGCGCGCTTCGGTATCAAAAAATAGCCCTAAATTTCAGCTATTTTTTGATACCAAAGATGCATTTTTTGAAAGTACAGGCGCTTTGAAAATGAATACTAAAAAACTTTTGCGACTACGCGACTGTACGAGGGCTTGGGGTACTATTACAGTATTGACGGTAGGTTTCTTTCAGTAATAGCAAGCTTTTTTTAATTTCTTCGAAGTCGGCTCAATTAAACTATCGAAAGAGATAGAATAGCAGAAAATGACAAAAAATAGAACACATCACATTATAAAAATTAACAAAAATCAATTTTCACATCATTATCGACAAAAAAGAATCAATCATATAGTAAAAATGGCTCAATTTCTTGACACTTTTAGAATTTCATTATGTGTTTTTATAAAAAAATCTTTATTTAACAAGCTCACAAACTTCAAAACGGGCAAATTGTGTGACGCTTTGGTAACCGGAGATAAACCGATTTGGCTACTCATTAAACGTTTTTTTATCCCCGGTTGAGCCTAATTTTGGCTTTTTTTGAAGAAAAGTCTGTCTTCAAGGGAGGATGTGCACGGCTTTATGAAGAGTTGAGCGTCTAAATAAGCTTTTAAGTTCCCGATATCATAATTTTTCTATAAATTATAATCTTGTTGTAACTATAATTCACGATGTGCCACTCTCAACATTTGAGCGGCGTTTCGGCGGCGTTTCGGCGGCGTTTCGGCGGCGTTTCGGCGGCGTTTCGGCGGCGTTTCGGCGGCGTTTCGGCGGCGTTTCGGCGACGGCGATGGGGACAGCGTTTCGACGTTTTGGGTGTACTGTACTTTGATTTAAGTGAAGGTATTTTAACTAAAAGTACTGTATTGTGGAGTATTCTAGTCTGGAACTAACTGTATTACAGATGAGACCCGATGGCAGCAAAGAAAATGATCGTCGTGAATGATTTGCCATGTCGATAAAAAAGACATTGACCGACGCCCGTTCCCAGGAAAACGAAAAAGATGGCGCCAATTTCCTAAAGGTTTTCAAAAGTTCTACTTTTGAATCTATCCATCATTCCATGTCTACTATATCAAAATCTATAGTAGACATGGAATGGGCAGGGGTTAAAGCAAATCCAACTCAATCTAGCCGGACCAGTTTAGAAAATGGGTAATGATACCTACAGTCAAGCATGTACACGTCTGTCGGTCCCTTCAACCTCGCCGGCTAACCTCATGACTTTGCTGTGTCTTTGTCAATGCTTGCTTGGAGTAGTAGGGATTAAGCCAAGCCAGTACTCACTATAAATGTCCCGCCTTTAGCACCGAAAACCAAATACATCACCCCATCGAGTCGATCGGCTGCAATTGGAAAAAAAGCACTTGGGAAGAGCCCCATGAATGACAAGCTCGAAACCGGCTGAGTTGATCTGTAAAGTGATTTCCATTACTTCAAATTTATGTCAAACATCTTTTTCTAAGGTTAAAAGACTTTACTTTACTAGCTTGGTTATAAACAGCTTAATTATAAACAGCTTGGACGGAGAGGTGGACGGAAAGCTCGAAAGAATCAATTCAAAAAGATGCAAAAAAAAAGGCACAAATAAATTGTTTTTGTTTTTTTTTTCACATCAACATCAACATTTTATAAGCTGAATGATTAAAAGATTTATTTATTACTTTGGCAATGAATTTTATCACAGTGGAATGAAAAAAAGGACTTAACCGTTACTTTACTTAACCGTTACAACCGAATAAACATCACAAAACAAGATAAAAGCTCAGCTAAAATCTGACCAAAAGCTCAAAACTTCAAAATTATGAGCATTTGAATGCAAGACAAAAAGACAGTGAAGACTTTGTCTTCTTTCTTCAAGAATTTCAGCAAAAGCTTCAAGCTTTTGAAGATCCTCTTTGAGATCTTCAGAAAAGAATCCACGTCAAACGTCTTTGTGGCAAATGTCTGTAATTGAACTTTCGAATTGTAAATTTGAACATTTTAGCTCTCATTTTAACTCTTTGCCTGTCCCGCGCATTCCCGAAAAATTTATCATTTGTGTGCCACTATGCCGATGGGTGGCTGTAAAGGGTGTTGGGAGGCTCTTTGGAAATGTTTACACTATCTTGTTGTCAACCATTTCCTTTAATTTATCTGGGGCGAAGTGCCGAGATGAGTCTAAATTATGTAGGTCTTACATCTAATACAATAAGAGATCGAAAAAAGTAATGAACAAATAGAAAACCTTATCTTTAAGTCAGTCTTTAAGTAATGAGTGAGTTCTCTTTTGAATTAGAATAACTTGAGCTCTTAGCTTAACCTTAACCATAACCAGCTGAATGTAAAAACAAATCGGAAAACAGTGAACGCTAACAGAGTTTTAATTGTAGGTGTTGCCCGAGGATTGTGAGTGTGTTTCTGTATTTCTGTCCGAAAATCAATTCATCAAACTGCATAGACAGCTCTAATCTGCGTGTAATACATTTGACCAATTAATACATTTAACTAGGTTTGTTTAGCTGATTTGAGAGTGAACTCACCCAACACTTTGCCGCGCTGTCCTTTAAATTCTTCAAATATTGCTGAGTCGGCACCACAATCTGCAAATAGTGTTTATTTGATTTAATTATTCTCTAAAGTTAATGCACAACTCAAACTTAGTATTGTAGCTTTTGACTTGCCTCAAACTTTCTTTCTTTTGGCATTATTTGTCTTGTCTTGTCTTTGTCGGCTAGATTTTCCGGGCTCTTCAGGGCAGACTAAAGTTGATTATTTTCCAAAAGCCGATCATCAAGCACAGACATTCAAAGCAGGCCAAGCGTTTGGCTTGGTCATGGCCGGCGAGTCTTTTGCCTATACAACAAAGTTGACACTCAACTCGACACAAGTCAACTTTTCCAACGACGCCTTCTGTCTAAACTCGGAATTCAGATTTGTTCCTCTCTTTCCCAATTTAGTATCCATAGCTAAAGATAGAATAACTTCGAATGGCTGTATCTAGCTTTAACTCGAGCAAAATATCACCTTCATACCACATTGAGAGAGCGGTTGAGATGCATATGACCGGGAGCATCTGACCAGAGATGACCTAAATATGATGTTTATAATGCATTAACTTCATAAATGCAAATTTTTTTATTAAGAATATTTAAAAGAAACCAGGCCAAATCAGATGGAGATGAGTCTGGTTTTTATTTCCTCCCCAAGACACCAAGACCCAAGACCAGTGTTATCGATCGACCAGTTTTAAGGTTTATGAAAGGAATCATTTACTCAGGCCAAGAAGAGGCAAGAAATTCTGATATCAGGAAAATCTCACTTCATTTCACTACGTACATAACAAAATTTCAGAGTCATTGATTTCCTTTTTAATTCGATTTATTCATGTCGCGATTTACAACAAGTCTTTCCGATCAATCAACTGTCTATTCGGCAAGAGAAATAAGGGGAAATTCTCAGCCGGAATAGATCGGTCGAACGAAGTATTGAGCTAGCTCCAGTGCTACAAACGAATCCATGGTATGGTAGAGAACTTTTAAAATCAAAATAGCGTTTAGGGCTAAAGAGACAAAGCCAGTATCACCTCCACGGAAATCTCCAACTCCACCGCCAACAAGCACCGGTGCCCAGGACAAATCCATGGTCTGGATAGACAAGACACGCTGTCAAAGGTACTATATGGCCAAGGGTCAAGAGTACAGCCGTACTATACCCACATGAGTTATTATATTAAAAGAATAGTTTTCTTTTGCTATGCGAAAGATTCAGGAATCAAAACAATCTCACCAACAACCAACCGAACTCTTCATTGCCATCGTATCATGCCTCAGCAACAGCAATGGATCCATGGTTAGCTTCTAGAAGTAATAGTTGAAAAGTTATAAATATCACTGATAAAGAATTGAATGAATCTTGACTCGATTGATAGTCGAAAACTTTAGGAACCGGGCCCCCAAACCACCAAGTCCTCAGACTTTCCCTTCTCCAGAATTTCCGCAATCCCTTCCACGCCATCCACTCAAAAACATTCACATTTAGAACCTGGAATACTTTTATATTGCATCCAAAATTAACCATAAATGATCAATATAAAAAGTAGTTAATAAATTGTTGTGACAGACCTTCTAGACGTTTCTCAAAAGGATTACAACAGATTTGTTTCGTTGGAGAGGTCGATACATCTATTGCATTACGACTTTCACCACTTCTAATCGACTCATGGATGAATCTCCTGCAAAATTTCTAAAAGATTAATTATCTTATAATTAGCGGCAGTTACTATTACATTTATAGTATCATAATTATCAAAAACTAACCTTCTATCAGACAAAAATGCCGGGATTTGAGGGGGAAAAAGCCTTCAAATTTGCTCTCGCACCTAGAAAATCTAAGAAAAGAGCCAGAAAATGCTGACTCATGACTGACCACAGCGAAAAAGCTTCCAAAAAAATACCTGACGCGAGCCGAAGCCATTTGACCAGTGCCGTTTTTTTTCTCTTTACTCATTTTTCTCACACAATTTTATTAGGTTTATTTAGTTCTTTGTTTGGAATTTTATTTTCGACGATATTATGATAAATCACTTAAGATAGATGATAAAAACATAAAATCACACTTTTTCATTGAAATTTTTAGCTTCAGCTCCCAGATTGAGAAAAAATTAAATCAACTTTTGTAAATATAGCCATTTTTTATTATTTTATTCAATTTTCAGAGCCAAAAAGCCACCCACGACATGTCGACAAGCCGTGTCCCTTGCCGGAAACTGACAACTCTTCGGTAATACAAAAAAACGAGATATTTGACTGCTGTGGCCGCAAAATTAACCTAGGCCAACCAGAAGCAAAACCAGACCCATGGTTCATCTGATTTGGCCTGATCTTTGCAAAGTATTCTTAATAAAGAAATTTGCATTTATGAACTTAATGCATTACAAGCATCATATTTTACATTACAAGGACGATTTCTCGACGTCCCGGACCTCCCCGACCAGGGCGCTCTCAACCTGCTATCAAGGTGACATTTTGCTCGAGTTGAAGCTAGATACAGCCATTCGAAGTGATTCTATCTTTATCTATGGATATTAAATTAGGTTGACAAAGAGAGGAACAGTTGTAGATGACAATGCTAAGTTTGAGTTGTGCATTAACTTTCGAGAATAATTAAATCAAATAAACACTATTTGCAGGATGTGGTGCCGACTCGGCAATACTTCAAGGACTTCAAGGACAGAGCCGGAAAGTTTTGGGTGAGTGCACTCTCAAATCAGCTAAACAAACCTAGTTAAATGTGTTACACATTAAATGTATTAATGTGTCAAATGTATTACACGCAGATTAGAGCTGTCCATGCAGTTTGATGAGTTGATTTTCGGACAGAAATGCAGAAACACACTCGCAATCCTCGGGCAACACTTACAATTAAAACTCTGTTAGCGTTCACTGTTTTCCGATTTGCTTTTACATTTAGCTGGCTATGCACAGGTTAAGGTTAAGTTAAGAGCTTAAGTAATTCTAATACAAAAGAGAACTCACTCATTACTTAAAGACTGACTTAAAGATAAGGTTTTCTATTTGTTCATTACTTTCCCGAGAGTTAAAATGTTAAAATGTACAGCCACCCATCGGCATAGTGGCACACAAATGACGGCCATAAATTTTTCGGGAATGCGCGGGATAGGCAAGAGTCCTGAGAGTTAAAATGTTCAAATTTACAATTCGAAAGTTCAATTACAGACATTTGCCACAAAGACATTTGACGTGGATTTAGTTCTGAAGGCCTCGATGAGGACCAAAAATCCCGAAAAAAAATCAAAGAAAATCAATCTCGAAAATCTCGAAGACACTCCTTGCCGAACCCTTGCCTTGGGTCTGTGCTTGGCTGTTTGCAAGACGGTTCTACTCTTTTGCATTTTCGGATGCATTTTTCACTCTTCCAGTAAACCTAAAGTTTCGGGGTCTTTCGAGATTAAATTTGAATTTTGAAATTTTAGCTTAACTTTTAACTTATTTTGTGATGTTTATTCGGTTGTAACGGTTAAGTAAAGTAACGGTTAAGTTCTTTTTTCATTCCACTGTGATTAGAAATTCCAAATAAATAAATAAAGCTTTTAATCATTCAGCTCATAAAAACCATGTTGATGTGAAAAAAACAAAAACAATTTATTTGTGCTTTTTTTTGAATCTTTTTGAAGTGATTCTTTCGGGCTTTCCGTCCACGTCTGCGTCCAAGCTGTTTATAATTAAGCTGTTTATAACCAAGCTGTTTATAACCAAGCTGTTTATAATTAAGCTGTTTATAACCAAGCTGTTTATAACCAAGCTGTTTATAATTAAGCTGTTTATAACCAAGCTGTTTATAGCCAAGCTGTTTATAATTAAGCTGTTTATAACCAAGCTGTTTATAGCCAAGCTGTTTATAATTAAGCTGTTTATAACCAAGCTGTTTATAGCCAAGCTGTTTATAATTAAGCTGTTTATAACCAAGCTGTTTATAACCAAGCTGTTTATAACCAAGCCAGTATGTCTGTAGTAAAATCTTTTAACCTTCGAAAAAGATGTTTGACCTCAATTTGAAGTAATGGAAATCACTTTACAGATCTACTCAACCGGTTTCGAGCTTGTCATTCATGGCACTCTTCCCAAGTGCTTTTTTCCAATATAGTTAGTCGTGGCTCGGCTTAATCTCTACTACTGCAAGCAAACATTGACAAAGACACAGCAACGTCATGAGGTTAGCCGGCGAGGTTGAAGGGACCGGCAGGCGTGTACATGCTTGACTGTAGGTATCATTACCCGTCGTATGCTTTTCCAAACTGGTCAGATTAAAGGTCAGGCTAGATTGAGTTGGATTTGCTTTAACGCCTTCCCATTCCATGTCTACTGTAGATTTTGATACAATTACAACTTTTGAAAACCTTTAGGAAATTGGCGCCATCTTTTTCGTTTTCCTGGGAACGGGCGTCGGTGAATGTCTACTTTATCGACATGGCAAATCGTTCCCGACGATCATCGTCTTTAGTAAGGCTGTAGAAAGATAAAAAATCTTGTGTTAGTTTCAAAAAGCGAACATGGATCTGCATTATGGTATTTCTGAATGTTTCTTGGGCCAGCCTCGCCTCCTATTCTTTCCATCGATTCAACCTCGTTTTAATCAACGAGATATTGACGCTTTTCTTTGGTAGTTTAGCAAAGTCTAGATAAAAATCCATATTCTTTAGGAACATCCAGAGTTTTCTTTCGTTACCGACCAACAGAATACTTTTATTGGCCATCAATAGAATCTGATTTTTCCTCCTTTTATCAACATACCGGCCTGTCTAATTATTGTCGCCATTGTTGTCAATTCTTCGAGTGTCATACTTTCTACGGTTTGTCGGTTTCGAAAACTTTTGTTAAATGCTTTTAAAGTATTATTTTTATTATTTTTATTATAGTTATTTAAAGTTGAGTTGGCCTGTCGTTAATCAACGTTAGTTTACCGTATAATTTTGTAGGTGTTACAACATCGGCACTAGCGGTTGATCGGAATCGGACGCCGAATTGTCGTGTCTTGCCGATGGTGGTCACCTTGTCTCAATCCATGATGCATATGTAAATTCTACAAATCCACAATCTACAAATTCCCATTACCCCTTTCAGACCAACAATTTCGTCTACACTTTGATCCAATATTCTCAAGTTTCTTTTGCATGGATTGGACTGAAATATCTGCCGAATAGTGTCTACATTTGGACGGATGCGACAAAAATGGATTATAATAACATTCCAGGTAAATAAATAATGGATAACTGGATAATTTCTGATTATCGGCCATTTGATACGCGCTCCGCGCCTTTTCCCATTAGCAATCTAACTTTGAGCTCAAATTTCCTGGTGTTGGGCTGTCAAATTTATAATATATTGGTATCATTAGACGCGTCAAGTCTCTCTCTGTCGATTGGTACAAAAACTATTTAAAGGGGGGGTATTAATCGCGGCCGGGTGACGATAAAAATTTTTTTACGGCAACCACCTGTTTTTTTATTTTAATATCGCTGATTTTATTATAAAAAGAATAAAAATCACCCGGCTAGAGTGATTTGATGGGTTTACAAATTTTTGGAGACACTGCAAGGCTTGGAGAAAAACAAGATCGTCACTCATCAGACACCTCAGCTAAAAGGCACCTATTTGAGAAAACTAAAACCACAAGCGACCACAAATGGAAAAAAGATCTAATTGTGTCAATTAAAGCGCTGAAGATGTCCTACGGTGGAGGAGATTCAGTCACTTCTGGCGAAGATGCACTGGAAATTGATAAGATAGGAAGCCGATTTGAGGAACTGCTGTACTTGAGCGAAGATGAAAGTGAGCAAGAGGAAGAATTATAGATTAACAATTTATTTTTATTGTTTTTTGTGCTTTTTATTTTGTTTTTAAATTTATCTGCAATTAAAATTCAATCGATCTAAACTGTGCTGAGGTGTCTGATGAGTGACGATCTTGTTTTTCTCCAAGCCTTGCAGTGTCTCCAAAAATTTGTAAACCCATCAAATCACTCTAGCCGGGTGATTTTTATTCTTTTTATAATAAAATCAGCGATATTAAAATAAAAAAACAGGTGGTTGCCGTAAAAAAATTTTTATCGTCACCCGGCCGCGATTAATACCCCCCTTTAAATTAAACAGCCTAACACGAAGATATTTGAGCTCAAAGTTAGATTGCTAATGGGGAAAAGGGGCGGCGCGCATATTAAATGGCCGATAATCAGAATTTATCCAGTTATCCATTATTTATTTACCTGGAATGTTATTATAATCTAATAATAAGTGCTATAATAATGGCTTTAAAGTTCTTTTCTTTGACTTTTATTCATTTTTCTAGAAAGCCGAGGCTCGAGAACGAAAAGCGAAAAATTACTCGATACGCCATCTGTTCTACAGAGCAAATATGGCAAAAGCGACAATTATTTTAGCTTTAGAAATGTAAGGGATAGATCTAGATAAAATGCTGATATAATATATTTAAGAATAATCACAAGTATGCTCAATTATGGCTTAATGTTTAATCTCGAGAAATTGGCCGGCTCGATCTATCGGGTTGCTGCGATGGATTCTCGACTCGACTCATGGATTTCTTGATTATCGGTGAATTGTTGATCTTTTCCTATAGAATCTATCAAATAGAGCTTTAGATGTAAAATCTCTTTTCAGCTTTCAAAAATGTGGCCGTAAACCGTTTCATTTCATTGCACAATTTGGCTCGTTTCTCTGTTGAACTGTGGAACTGTGGTCGCGCATTTGACAGGTTTCAAATTATCAAAATCGGTTTTGCTCATTGATTTCTTCGATATTTAAACAATTCTGTAGACTATAGCTTTTCAAAAAAAAAACCAATGAATTTGCAGGTAAATCCGATGAATGGTCGCAATTCATTCGAATCGCCACGATTGTGGCCACAGCTGTTTGCTCACAGGTAAACTGTTTGTAGCTAGTTGTAAGCAAAAATAAAAGCTATTCAATGTTTTAGGTTTACCTCTCAAAAGGAACCACTTCAATGGAATATTCAGTCATTCGAAATATCGACATTTCTTTTAATTCAACGTGGAGCCGTTTTGGATTCATTTTAGCTCCATTGATGTTTCGAATGGTTTGAAATATAGAAACTCTTCAAAACTTTTCTTATCTTTATTTTCTTTAGCATCAATCTAAAGCTCTTCCATTCATTTCTATGGCCATTATATCGCTTATCGATGCTGCTGGATTTCAGGTTTGAATTTAAATATTGCAAAGAGTTTTTACAGGTTTTACAGGTTTCTTTAAATTTTAGTTGAATTTACCGGAAGCAAAAAAGGAAGAAGGAAAACCGATGCAGGATACTCTACCGGAAAAAGCGAATAAAAGAAATGAGATACCGGTAAAGAAAATATCGAATGCAAATGAGTTAAATGTGGAATAGAATAAAGTATTTTATAATTTAAAAAAAAGCAACTTTGTAACTTGTACTTTGTGCCATGTAAACGCTCACTTTCTGATACACTCAATTCCTTCATTAGCAACAATTGCATACAACTTTATTCTGAAATTCTCCCTTCAAATCTTCATCCAATATTAGGTGTTTTAAAGTAAACAGATGGATAATAGGTTTCACAATCTTTCGTAATCCATTCCTTTTGGTTACTCGATGAGCCATGCTTTGCCGCTGTGATACATGAGCCGACTGTTCCATTTCCCGATCCTGAATCAAGTTTTTATTGAAACTTTAAGCTAAAAACAGTATCATAATCATAAAGAAGTATGTTTCGGGTGTTTTCCAAAAAAGTAAGAAATTTGGCGGCAGGTAGACTTGTACCCATGACCATAGGTCGGCACAGGTTTCGCAATTCAGCACACTGTCCCCTAAACCGTGGCCGCTTCTTTTGGCCATCCAGCGTGGCACCATTTTATAGGTGAGGCCGCGGTTTGCCGAAACTTTGGACACGTTTTTCTCAAAAATCAGGCCCCATGGGCAAAAAATAAAAAAATACTTTTCTTAGAATTCTACGGGGGCGTTTTGTAGCTAGGTCCGGTTTCGAAAATCGGTGGTAAGTTGAAACAGTTCTCTAGTTAAGCGAAAGTTAAAGCTGGCTGTCCTGGCGCCGTGCACGGGGATTACGCTTTACGTTTTAACGTCAACTTGTGATCCATGTTTCCTAGAGAATTTTGTTAACCCATGGGCTAGGCCACGATTGCCTAGAGAATTTTGGTTTTTAAGACAATGCTGTTCGCAACTTGTTTGTTTAATAATAAATGAACTCTCAAAAGTTAGCCCATGGGCTAGGCCATTTGAAAAGTTTGGGTTTCCTTGTAAGTTCCCTTGTAAGTCTTCTTTTCTCACTTTGATCTCCTCCTATACACTAAATCTTTTTGCTTCCACTCTTTAGTAAACAAAAGTAAACAAAACAAACAATTTCGTTAAATATAGAAAGCGATTTTCTATACTTCAGGAGGTGGATTTTTAAGTACATTTTTGAGAACGAAAATCACCAAATTTTTGGGTGCGATGCTCACAAATCATTTGAGTCTGTTTCGATGAGCGTTTTAGCTGAATAGAATCCGAAAAACATTTCCAAATTTCGCCCCCATCATCCCACATTGTTGTTGGTCACAATGAGGACATTTGTGGGGTCTTTGGGCCCAAATATTTATATTTAAAAGCAGTTGTGGATGCTTTGAATGAAAAGCTTTGCGTGAAAAGCAAGTGATGTCCTCGGCTCAAGTATCGATGTTTTTCGTCTTGTTAATCGGTGGTTTCTTTGTTTATTTCATTTATAAATCCAAAAATATAATTGTTCTTTCCGTTTAAATGTTAAATGATCCAAGTCTATCTTTGCATAAAATCTATATGCTTTATTCAGTTGAATAGCGATAAAATAAGATCACAATAATCACCCAGGACACTCAAAACACACCCAAAAGAAAAAAAGATACCTCAAGAAAGAATCACAGTCAAATCAATTACCGGCTTTAAGTCTAGCCAAGGTGGGAATATCACGAGCACGAGCTTGTATAAAAATGTAAAAATGTAAATGCGAGTTTTACAAATAAAAAAGAACGCATATCTAAATGAAAAGCTTAAAAGTCTCTTTTTTCAAGCAAGCTATTACAAAATATTTTACTTTTTTCGTCATCTTTGAGCTTTCTTTTCTAAAAGTTAATTTTAAAATCTAGCGAACAAATTCATTGAAATTTAAAATTATTAAAATTAAAATTTTAATGTCTAGCGGACAAACCTCCTCGCCACACTCGGGTAGTAATCTACAATGTTGGCTGTGGGCCTTGACTTTCTTGACGATTTCTTGTTTCGTGGGGTCGTAATAGACGCGCCCTCGGCAGAAAATTTTTTTTTTTTTTGGTGGAATGTCCTCTGTTCATGTTTTTTTCTTTTGGGGCTTCTTCGTTTATCATTTCTAAATCCGAAAATATAAATGTTCTCCCCTTCCAAAGCCGATCTTCGCACAAAATGCGAATTTCAAAAAAAAAAAAAAAAAAAAAGTATCTTTCTGTTAGCTATCTATTACAAAACATTTTACTTTTTTTACATTGAAGTATTTTCAGGAGTTCTTCTGACAGAGGCTACAAAAGACGGTTTCCGATATCTGCGCAACGTGGCCCCGTGCAGTCCGCAATGTCGGACAAAGAATCCGATCGCGAACTTGGAAACGTGTTGTCGGGTGAGTGTTTATGATCAAAAACATGTAATAGCTTAAAGTTGCTTAGAAGTTGCTTAGATTTATTAATTCACGGTACAGTTAATGAATGTCAAACAACCTATCTCGTTCCATGTATTTCCCGCTTTTCATTTTCTTTTCACTTTTTTCTTTCTCAAAATTTCTTTAGCCTATCTAGAAATAAACAGTCTGTATTGAATTTTAAAAATACGAATTGATTTTAATCCTTTAATAATCGATTTTATTTCAGCAACACAACGCCGGCAGTTTTGGATTTTGCACAGCGAATGCGCAAGCGATTTGTGCGATAATGGATGTAACATGGTCGGCCAATGGGGCAGTTTTTGGCTGTGTGCTTCAAGGCGATTGTGATGGATGAATAGAGGAAACTAATCTATAAATGTTTTTAACAACTCGTTCGACAACTCAAAATCTCAAACCGACAACTCAAAACTTTCAAATATTTATGAGAAGAGTTTTCAGCTAAGAACTATATAGAATAAGAATAGCCATTGCTGCGATTTACCGTGAGAAAAAGGAAACAGGTAATTAGCTAGAAAGCTAGAATTAGCTAGAAACTGACTTGACTTATGACTATAGCATTCCTCTACTTTCTTCTCTTCCTTTCCTTCTTCCTTTCCTTCTTCCGCGTTCAACCATTTATAGAGAGTTTTTGCTTTTTTTGAGACCAAATTACATGTTAGCCATCTAATTGCTCACGCCGAAACTCACCTCAAAAACAGTTCAAAGTAACCCATTTTTCGGGCAAACTTTTACGAAAATGACTTCGAAAATTTCTTATATAATAATAATACTTTATTCAAACGATAAAGTGAAAGAAATCATAGAGAAATGCACAGTGATACTTAATCATACAATACATACTGAAATCAATAAGCCAATTACTTACGGCAAAGAGCCACTAGATCTAAAGCATCGATACGTTTCTTGAATATGAAAAGCGACTGAATTTCTCGTATGTTTTTGTGTTTTATGTTTTTTCCTGAAAAAAAGAATATTCAGAATGCTAAAGTTCATTTGTTTTTCTATTTTTGATAGTTCTTCACCTGGAAACAAAAAAAAAGAGGATGATTCTTGTCGAATTGTTGAAAGAGGCGTACACTCCTCTCAGGTTTTTCCCAAAAACAAGGTTTTTCCCAATTCAAGAATGGTTTGAATGGAAAAAGTGATCAGAGTGTTCAATAGGGTGAGAATCGAGCTAGCCAACATCTAAAATATGAATGGGTTTTGAGATTTGAGATTTGAGATTTGATACCTGCACCATTAAGAGGCTTTCGGCTGATGAGGCTTTACCAGTTTTTCGTAACTGAAATTTTCAAAGGTGATTAAATAGTTAGTAACTATCTAATCTTACCCCCAATACCTTTTCATTCACCAATCATTTTTCTAAAAGACACAAAACCCAACCCAATATAAATGTTTTTTCACAACTCGTTCGACAACTCCAAAACCTTTTAAATATTTATGAGAAGAGTTTTCAGCTAAGAACTATATAGAATAAGAATAGCCATTGCTCTCATTTACCGTGAAAAAAATGAAACAGGCAATTAGCTAGAAAGCTAGAATTATCTAGAATCTGGCTTGACTTATGAAAGGGTTTTTAGCCAAAAATAGTCACTGCGGCTACTTGCCGATAAGAAAAAAAGATAAAAACAGGCAATTAGCTAAACTTTGGCCTGACTTATGACTACAGTAAAAAATTCTTCTACTTTTTTTCTCTTTCCTTCCTTCTTCCGAGTTCAGCCATTTATTAGCTGAGTTTTTGTTATTTTTGAGACCAAATTACATGTTGGCCGATTAATTGCCGAAACTCACCTCAAAAACAGTTCAAAGTAACCCATTTTTCGGGCAAACTTTTACGAAAATGACTTCGAAAATTTCTTATATATACGAAAAGTATCACGATCTTTTCATCGTGCTACTGTTGACCGGAGTTTTGACTGGTTTTTTTGAGGAAATTGGATTCATCAATTTGCTCATTCAGGGATTTATGCGCCGATTTTCTACTTTGGGAACACATGGTTGCGTGGACTGCAGAATTCATCAAAAGTCGATATCGATCTCGATTTGAGCATTGAAATAAAAGGCGTCTTCTTTCAAATTGGACAAGTTGTAAGTGTTAGAGAAAAACAACTTTTTTGCTTAAAATCTGCGTTCTTCACTGAACAAAAATGACTGTAAATTAACTTTTTTCGAGAAACACGATCGGTGATATAATTTTTGGTTAATAAATGCTGTACCCAAGGAAAATTCAAAATTCTTTTTGACAGCTAGCAAAAAAAGAGTTTGAGTTTTTTAAATGAAGAAATTCTACATCTAAAGACTTGCTCAATTCAAGATTTCAGATTGTTTTTGTGAGCCTTTTCACCACGACAATAGCCATGTACTTTTCGGCGACAAATGACCGATTATCAGTGCCAGTAAGGTAGTTGATTCAGAGAAAATGAGCTCCTCGAGTTAATTGTCTTCAAGAATTTAGATTACTAGCAACAGCTGAAAGTGGTACGAAATTTATCTTTGCTTTGTGCTCCACTTTGAACGGATTTTGTATGGAATCGTTTCAATTTCTCAAGTTAGTCCCAGTTTTTCCGTTTTTCTGATTGTTCTAGGTGTTCTGATGGTATTGCAAGCGCTTTTGCCAACATTTGGCTGATTGTCAACGGCTTTGGTCTTCCAGAAATGGCCGCCTATTGTCAAGCAATGATTTCTGTCTGGTTAGTTGATGAGAAAGACTTATTTATAGAAACAAACATAGTGGTGACATTTTTTAGTGAAACTAAAATAGATTGCTTCATTTCCTTTTCGACAAGCATATTATTAAAACAGCTATTCGAATAGCTTAAAAACCTCTAAATTTCACTATTTTCAGTCGTTTCTTTGCCGTTTCTTTTGATGGAATCTACTTCCGATATACGACTCAATGGCCTCTCGTCCAATTGATTTGTCCATATTTGCTGAGAATTGCTCTCAAACTTGTGGATTCGATCTTTGAGACAAACAACAATAATGCAATGTCGGGCAAGCCACCCGTGCTCACCAATGCCTATTCGTATATTGATCCAATTGTTGTCGTTATCCCATCTTTCTTCGCGTGTTCATTAGATCTAGTGACGAATCGAAATATGAAAAAGGTGGTGGACAAGGTGCATTAGTAGCGTAAACTCTATTTAACTTCGATCCTAAGGTCATTTGTTTTTGGCCACTAGAAGCCAAGTTTTAAGGGATTCAATCGTTTAGTAACCTTGATTGCAAGAATATTTCAGTTACGAAAAGCCGGTAAAGCCTCATCAGCCGAAAGTCTCTTAATGGTGCAGGTGGTGATCTTCAAAATTGCAAAACGCTATATATTTTAGATGTTGGCTAGCTCGATTCTCACCTTATTAAACACTCTGGTCACCTTTTCCATTCAAACAATCCTTGCGCTTGCTTTTGGGAAAAACCTGAGAGGAGTGTGCGCCTCTTTCATCAATTTGACAAAGCTCATCTTCTTTTTCTTTGTTTCCAGGTGAAGAACTATCAAAAATAGAAAAACAAATGAACTTTAGCATTCTGAATATTCTTTTTTTGAGGAAACGTGAAACTCGAAAACGAACTGGAAGTATTTTTCCGACTTTTACACACTGAAAATAACGAGAGGCTGAATAAAAGATTTATCAAAGACTCAATTTTAAAGTTTATAAACCCATTTTGGTAGAAAGCATTAAACTTTTACCTGTTTTTACTTGTTTTTACCTGTAGAATGGTGTTTTTAAATCTAAAATGTTCGTAATGAATGAAATTTTAATAAATTTCAAGCCGTTTTTGCTTTTACTTTTCTTTTTCTGCGTTTTGTGACACGAAACGTAAAAGTGCCAGTGTTAATTTTTCGAAAAATCCTTGACTTTAACACATTCGCGACGAGGCGTTTTTTTTGGGTTACTGCAGAAATGCGGCTTTTCCTGAGCCTTGTGATTTCTCATCGAATTTTATCAAAATTGAGCTGATCAGATGAAAAATAATAGCTTGATTACGGCATTTTCCAAAATAAGTGCCTTTTAGCGAGAACTATTATAGTTTTCGAAAATAAAACTTTCAAACAATCTACTATAAAGCAGAAGAGACGTCTGTCTGTGCGCAAACGCGACGCTCCTTAACACATTCGCGACGAGGCGTTTTTTTTGCGTTACTGCCCCAGTGGACGAGGGGTGTCTCGCAAAGCTATTAGCCCCGAAATACACCTCCTATATGTAAAATTACATGCTGAATTCGAATTGCGGGTTCGAACCCCGCTCGTGCATATTTTTTTTTGCTTTTTCTGAAAACATTTGCGACTTTCCCAAAAAATAATAATTTTTTTTGATTTTTTTTTTTGCGAACTCTCACTATGCACTTCATTTTTAACTTTTCTCAAAGACAATTTTTAGATACGATGACTCACGAGATGAATATGGTTGAGGAGGGCTTCAGTGAAGATGAAGAAGCGGTGTTGTTGGAAAGCAATGAAGAGTTCGATAGCGATAAAGATGACGAAGAGATCCCATGCAAAAAGTGGCAACTCAAATGAATCTCAAAACAAAAGGGGTCTCAAAACAACTTCTTGAGGCAATACATACCGCAAGATGTCATCAACAATTTGCCGACTTTGATTTCCCAGTATAGAACTGCGCAAGCGGCTTTGCCACAAAATCAGCAACCATCTCAGCTGAGGACGAGCAGTGTGGTGATCCCAGAGCCTGACGATTCTTCCAGGAAAAGAATCCCAGGAAAAGACGTGAACCGGAAAGGACCGCTTGCTGAATCGGTTGTCATGCGTCTATCCGAAGGCCTCTTGCGATCCGGAAGAACAATCGTCACCAATAATTTCTACACGAGTTTGTCATTGGCAAGGAATTTGATATCCCAATATACACATTTGGTTGGCACTGTTCGCAGGAACAAACAAGGCCTACCTTCTGGTGTCGTATAAAAGAAGTTGAAGCAAGGAGAACTGGTCGCTCAGCAAAGCGCGGATGGAATCACGGTGATGAAGTGGAAAGATAAGCGTGACATCATGATGCTGTCAACATTTCATGATGACGCTGTCAACCAGAGCAATAAGCCGCAAGTCGTTGAATACTACAATCATATGAAGCTATTTGTTGACACGAGTGACCAGATGGCCGTGAGACGCTTTTTGACCCTTTTGTGATGAAAAACTGGACACTTCACTCAACTTGTCTGGCGGGTTAATACTTTTAACATGATTCTAGAGTTTATCACTTATTTACTGTAAGAGACCTTCTAACATTCGACTCACGGGACACAAAATCCACCTCATTTTAACGACGTTAATTTCCGTGAGATAAACGTTTTGTTTATTTGAGTCCAAACGAGTTTCATAGATGTGAGCACCAAAGTTTCGAGAACAAAACATACAGGGCAACAAACCAGAAATAAGCCGTCCCTACATGCGTCTAGATAATTCCCCTAGACAGACAAAAATGGCCTATGAACATAATAAGTAGAGACCATTAGGAATCATGAAAAGTTGTATTTGTTTCTCTAGATCGATCCTGCTTTTTACAAGACATAAAAGAAGGCGTGTAGGCAATAATATTGAGATAAATTAAATCCGGTTTGGAAAGGAAGTGAATGCGTTTATGTGTCATGTGTATGTCTCTGTTCAAATAAAACCATTCACTATTGAAAAAACACTTTTTCTCTTTTATCGTTTTGCAAAGTGATGTAAAAATTTTGGTGCTTGTGGTTGGCTTCTTCAAAAGACAACTTAATTTCAATATTCAACTCCTTTCTTGAATATAATGGCCCATGGAAAAGGCGAAGGTTTCTAAAGGACTTGTTGACTTGCCAAAACATGAATGGCGAATTGATAAGTCTCAGAGTTGCGAGTTTTCGCTCATTGGGTAGAGTTGAAAGGGAAAATGTTACATTCGAATTTGATTTGGGCAGAATATCCAATTTTAAAAGTTGCTGAAAATCAACTAAAGTCTCAAATCTCGAAGTCTCAAAACTTTGGTGCTCACATCTATGAAACTCGTTTGGACTCAAATAAACAAAACGTTTATCTCACGGAAATTAAACGTCATTAAAATGAAGTGAATTGTGACTTTCGCTTTGGTAAAATCTCCGAATAAAATGAGGAAAAAATTCAGTTATCAATCAATCCAGTCGTGTATTAGAGTTTTTTCTTTTAAAAAAGTATAATTCAGTAAATTGAATTCAAAGATCAACGTTTCATTTCATTTTAGAGGCGCAGGTGAGACAGGAATTGTCGGAAGTTTGTCTAAAAATAAGCTGTAATTATAAAATCGGCTACAATAACGGCCTCCACTTCATCACTTTTCCTTTGCCAAATATCTTTTCAATCAAATATCCCCGATAAACTCTTGTGGCTGAGATCAAAATGAGACAATTGAAAGACGAATGAAAACTTGGAATCAAAGCCAGTGAAGAGAGAACTATAAGTTTTGATAAGTGGTAATGATTTAAGACTTGCACAACTTACAAATGTTTTCAATCGGAAGCAAATTCCACACACTAAACGTCCCCAGCACTGATGGCAGAATCAAAAAGGTGAGCAGAGCAAAGGACTGAAAAAGATTGAAGATCGAAAAGTAATCTACTTCTATAACCTGCAAAAAGAAAACAATTTGCAGATATTGAATCATTTCTTTCGTTTGTTGACTGACAGTCTTTTTCACTGAATTTGCATAGTGAAAAGTCAACCAAATAATATAAAACAACCAAGATGTGCCAACGGAAATCTCAAAACATTTCTCCCAAAAAAAAAACTTAAAATAAAACCAAGATCAAAACTGGGAAAGACAATTTCGAATCATTTTGTCGAAGATAGAAGACGATTGGTCGTTGATACGACTGACAAGTTGAGTTGGCTTCTAAACTAGGCTTTGAAAATGGTTAAAATTGAGTTCTCAACGAAAATTCGTAAGATTTTACCCACTTATGTTTAAAGACGACAGAATGGATTCAATAGAATCGACAACTTTATATTCATTCAAGATGAAAAAGCTGAAAACCAAATAGCAAACTGGAATTGTTCCAGCGGCAAAGCAGTGCAAGAAAAATAGCTTTGGCGCGTCACGAGAATAGCCGACAGCGTGCAATTTATACAATAGAGAAAACAGAAGTGTTTCCAAAACCAAGACAGCAAAATTGAAGTAGTATTTCTAGAATTGGTATAGAAAAGTTAGGGAAAACGGATTATTACTAAGAGTTGTGCTTTGAAGTGTAAAGGTAAACCAAAAACGTCGCCAAAACTGCACGCGGGCAAGGGCAAAAGATAGATTGGCTCTGATAGGAAAATGCCCAAATCCATGCATTGCGAGAACACCTGAAAAAGAAATTCGGCTCTTTCCCTGAATCGTGGTCTTTTGCAATTGCAAACTGTTGCTGTCGGTGGCTTTTTAAGTGCACTTGAATAACATTACTTATTAGGTACAAAAATCATTTCTGACGGATGGAGAGGAATCAAGCTACTTCAGCAGCAATATGACCATAGTTGGGTCAATCACAAGCTACAGTTTGTCGACCCTAATGACCCAACCATCCATGCACAAAAAGTATAATGAAATCTTTGAAACTTAAGCTCGATATTTACAAGTGGGAGCGACGGACTCAAGGCTTCAATCTGTTCAATCTGAAGGCTTCAATCTGTTTAGGAGGGCAACATAGAAGGGTCAGCTCTTTCAACATTTGCGTGGAACAAAAAAAGATCCACTTCCAACTTATTTATTTGAATATATGTTTAGAAGAGCAACAGAGAAGGGTCAACTCTTTCAACATTTGTTGGTTCGCATGGAGGCTGCTTACCCCCTTCCCTAGGATTGTTCTTTGAATTCTGATTAAATGTGCAACTTAATAAAATAAGTTACCACAATTTCAAAAGATTTTTGGTAAAAAAACAAAAGATTGCAAAAGAAGACGATTCAGGGAAAGAGCCAGAAATTTATTCTAAAACCAGGCCCTTATCAGCCCTTAATTTCAATAGGTTTCAATTTCTCCGTAAATCCAACCACACTTCCGATTTGAATGTTTCGATAGAGTTTCGAGGCTGGCGATTTCACTTTGAACATTGTGAATAGAGTAAGGAGAGAAAGAGTGACACCCACTCCAAACGAGATTTTATAAAAAACTCCAATGATGATCAATTCGTCATCGGTCGGGCAAAACATGGCTGAAGTTGGTGAGGAAATGGTGAGGAATAAAATTGATTGGATTTCAGGAAAATTTCCTTCTAAATTAGCCGAAAATTTTCAAGAGTTTATAAGAGCTTTTTGAATTGTTTTTCTTTCAAAAATCTCTGTAATTCTTGGCTAAATTGTTTGTTGTCGGAAAGAATGACTTGTACAGAAAAAAAAACGAATTACTGCTTGCGATTTGCAAAATAGAGTAGTTGAGTTTTTTTTGGAAAGACTAAATTTTATTTGAAATAAAATTTCGATGAAAACAAGTGCTTTTTGTGTGATAATTGGCTGCAAAACAAAAGAAAACGCTTATTTCAATCTTTGTATTCAGAATAAGAACACTTTTATTTATCACTTTTCAAAAATAGACTTAAAATAGACTTAAAATAGACTTTCAAACGACATTTTATAAGAATGACTTTTAAAATTTATTTATATTCTGCTTTCAGAGCCAGACTTGTGCAAAGACTTTACAATTTCCATACCAGTGAATGTTGAAAGGATTCTGTTGAAAGCTTTCAGAGACAAGGCCAAAGAGGCAAAATGATTTTGCACAAACTTTTTTGAGATCCCTTTATTCGTTGAAATTTATCTTCAGCATAAAAGAGAAAGAAATTTTGTTGACGTTTTGATGACAGGATTCGAAATTTGCTTTTTCACAGCTTTGTATTAGGTTGTCCAATAAGTAATGCGTGTTACTTATTTCGAAACTATTGCGAAATCGCTTCGAGCAAATATATGCTCTTTTTAATCATCAGCATCTTGTGTTTATTTTTATATATTATTTTATTCATTTGCCTTTGTTTTATAATAGATATGTTGTTTTGCAGATGAAAGACAAAAAGTTTGTTGTCCGCGCATCAATGCTGTATGATTTCAAACGAGGCAAAACTGCAGCGGATTGCCATCGAACTATCTGTGCCGCATTTGGAGAGGATTCAATTTCAATCAGCCAGTGCCGGTTTAAATCGCTGGTTTAAACGATTTGCGGACGGAAACGAGTCAAAAGTGTAGACGAGGTGCAAAAATGGCTCGACGATTTCTTCTCATCGAAACCAGCTTCATTCTATTATGACGGACTTCACTCTTTGCTCGGACGATGGAGAAATGTTGTTGATTGTTGTGGAGAATATATCGATTAATAAAGTTCTCTTTTGTTAATTTTGTGATATTTTGAAAATCGTGTCAAAACACGCATTACTTATTGGACAACCTAATACTTTCCACCAATTGTTCATCATAGATTTAGTGCTGAGAATAATATCTTTTCCATGTCTTGTGCAAAGACTTTACAATTTTTAATTTTTAGTAACTTCTGTACTTTTGTTATATAGAGCTTCAAGAGAAGTTCAGGACTTTGGTATCATGATACCAAAGTCCTGAACTTGATATATCATGTCTTTAGCATCATGACTTTGACTATCAGTTTAGCAACTCTCTGTCTGGCTTTTCACCTATCAATTAATCCATGTTAAATATTTCCATACCAGTGAATGTTGAAAGGATTCTGTTGAAAAAAACGAATTACTGCTTGCGATTTTCAAAATAGAGTAGTTGAGTTTTTTTGGAATAAGTGTGATAATTGATTGGAAAACAAAAGAAAACGCTTTAATCTTTGTACTCGAAATAAGAAAATATTTATTTATCACTTTAAAAATCGATTTTCAAACGACCCATTTCTAACAGTATACCGTATTCTCTCTAATAGAGGTGCACTCTTTAATAGTAGTGCACTCTCTAATAGTATTGCGGTCCAGGAAGGGGTTGAAAAAATAGTAGTGCACCCTCGAAAATTTGAATTTCTGGTGCTTCTTTTTCATCTAAACATTTTTGACTTTATGTTTATGTGAAAGCTATTCAAGCATTCAAGCAAGCTTCTAAAGCTATTCAAGCAAGCAAAAATGAGCCTTTTTTATTCATTTATTAACTATTCTTCACATGAAAAAGTTAGCAAAAAATCAAAAATTGTTGTGCAAAGTGCAAAAACATCTTTTTGTTGTTTGTCAAGACACAAATTGTCAACTCGCCGGCCCACAACTGTATGTCAAAAGGAGCCAAAGGAATACGTGAAAGAATTGCAGGAATTTTTAGAACAAATCTTATATCTGTCTTACTTTGGTAAATGATAAAACTCTTTAATAGTACTGCACTCTCTAATAGTATTGCGGTCCAGGAGGGGGTTCAAAAAATAGTAGTGCGCACTACTATTAGAGAGAATACGGTATCAGATTAGAAAGATGATCAAGAGAATGTTATTTAAACGAAAGAGATCGGAAACATGAGAAAAAATAGCAAAAACAATGACGCGAGTGAGAGTCGAACTAGCAAAAGCAAGTGTGAACCAGGGGCACTACCACTGTCCCACCGTGACGCTACAATGCTCCGACAAAGGCAACCATTATATACCTTGAAACCGCTCAGTGCACTAGGGCGTCAAATTTCAAATCTAGAACGATCTAGACTACAGAAATCTAGAGCGTTTGGGGGAAAACTAAAAACGCCATCGTGTTGCTCGTGTCCAACTTGCGTAAGTCATCTATTGGGTTGGTGAATTGAAAACTGCGGGCTATTTCGCGGGACTCGCAGATAAAAAAAACAAAAGCATTGAACCAGCTGAAAGGGGGTTTGGTTACTTCAACATTCCCTCAAATTATTGCGAGAAAATTATGCTTCCAGCTTTTTATTTTTTGGTATTTTTCTTCACTTCTTCTATTGCACTCGACAATCTGCCACCGGGACTTATTCGTATCACGATAAATGAGGAAAGAATTCAGTCATCAATCAATCAATTCAATCGTGTATTTCTTTTTTTTCGTTTTTTCTTTTAAAAAAAAGCATGGATCAATAAATTTAATTGAAAAATCAACATTTCTTTTCATTTTAGAGGTGCAGATGAGGCAGGAATTGTCGGAAATTTATCTAAAAGTAGACTTTAGTCATAAAATCGGCTACGATTATCATTTTACCTTTCACACATATCTTTTCAATCACATATTCCCGATAGACTCTGGTCGCTGAGATCAAAATGAGACAATTGAAAGACGAATGAAAACTTTGAAACAAAGCCATTGAAGAGAGAACTATAATTTTTGTGGAAATGATTTGAGAATTACACAACTTACAAATGTTTTCAATCGGAAGCAAATTTGACACACTAAACATCCCCAGCACTGTTGGTAGAATGAAAAAAGTGAGCAGAGCAAGAGACTGAAAAAGATTGAAAAGATCGAAAAGTAATCTACTTCTGTAACCTGCAAAAAGAAAACAATTTGCAGATATTGAATCATTTCTTTCGTTTGCTGACTGACAGTCTTTTTCACTGAATTTGCATAGTGAACAGTCAAACAAATAATATAGAACAACCAAGCTGTGCCAATGGAAACCTGAAATAACTTTTTCCAAAAAAGAAAAATTTGAATAAAACCAAGATCAAAACTGGGAAAGCTAATTTGGAATCAAGTTGTCGAGGATAGAAGACGATTGGTTGTTGATATGTTTGACAAGTTGAGTCGACTTCTACAGTTGGCTTTAAATTGTTCCAATTGAGTCATGAACCAAAATCCTTCAGATTTTACTTACTTGTCTTTAAAGCCAAGAAAATGAATTCAATAGAATCGACAACTTCATATTCATTCAAGATAACAAAGCCGAGAACCGAAAAGAAAACAGGACCAGCTCCAGCGGCAAAGCAATGCAAGAAAAATAGCTTTGGCGAATCACGAGAATAACCAACAGCATGCAATTTATACAATAGAGAAAACAGAAGTGTTTCCAAGACCAAGACACCGAAATTTAAATAGTATTTCTAGAATTTGTATAGAAAAGTTAGGGAAAACGGATTATTACTATGAGTTGTGCTTTGAAGTGTAAAGGTAATCCAAAAACGTCGCCAAAACTGCAGGCGGTCGATGGTAAAAGATAGATTGGCTCTGTTAGGAAAATACCCAAATCCATGCATTGTGAAAAGGTCTGGAAAAGAGATTCATAAGTTGACAAAGAAAATCTCGTTCCCGAATTTCTAGATTTCAATTTCTCCGTAAATCCAACCACACTTCCGATTTGAATGTTTCGATAGAGTTTCGAGGCCGGCGATTTCACTTTGAACATTGTGAATAGAGTAAGGAGAGAAAGGGTGACAGCCACTCCAAACGAGAATTTATATAAAATTCCAATGATCGTCAGTTGGTTGTCGGTCGGGCAAAACATGGCTAAAGTTGGTGAGGGAAACTGATAAAATCGCTTGAATTTATTTAAAAAAAAAATTGATGATTCAACTTGATTAAACTTTAAGTAAATTTCTTGTTAAATTGCTAAAAAATACAAACGAAAAGATAAAAAAGTTTTTTAAAAAAGAAAAGATATAAGAGTATTTTAAACTTTGCTTTTTATAAAAATCTCTATAATTGTCGGCTAAACTGTTTGTTGTCGGAAAGAATGAGCTGTACAGAAAAAGTCCATTACTGCTTGCGATTTTCAAAATAAAGTAATTGAGCTTTTCTTGGAAAAGAGATCAAATTTTGTTTTAAATAAACTTTTCATGACAACAAGCGTGATAATTGGCTGGAAAACAAAAGAAAACGCTTTAATCTTGTACTCGAAATAAGAAAATATTTCTTTATCACTTTAAAAATCGATTTTCAAACGACCCATTTCTAACAGTATATCAGATCAGAAAGAAGATCAATGTTAATGTTAGGAATGTTATTTAAACGAAAGAGATCGGAAACATGCGAAAAAATAGCAAAAAGAATGACGCGCGTGGGAGTCGAACTAGCAAAAGCAAGTGTGAACCAGCGACACTACCACTGTCCCACCGTGACGCTACAATGCTCCGACAAAGGCAACCATTATATAGCTTAAAACCGCTCAGTGCACTAGGGGGTCAAATTTCAAATCTAGAGCGTTCTAGACTACAGAGCGTTTGGGGGAAAGCTAAAAACGCCATCGTTTTGCCCGTGTTCGACTTGCGTAAGTCATCTAGTTTTGGTTCGGATTCGCGCTTGCGAGATCTGCAAAATTCCCTAGTAAGCCTAATTTCGGTTTAGCAGAGAGGTTTAAAGTTTAGAAAAGAAAAGTGATCAGAAAAGTCAACGTCTGAGATTTGTGGTGAAAAGCGATTTGTTTTAAGTTGAAGTATGACTTATCTAAATCCCCAAAAATAGAAAATGATAAGAAAAGTACTTTTACTTTAATGATGAAGGTAAAATCGCTTTAATCGCTTATTTTCAAGTCAACGAAAAATCATGAATAGCTTGAATGATTGTAGATCTCTTGTCTGGTTTCAGAATTCAAAAGAAATGCCACCGAGATTGATGTCATTAATTGATAATTGTAGAACATGTAAAACAGGTTTATTGTTGAGAATGATATCTTTTTCGTGACTTGTGCAGTGATTTTTCAATTTCTATACGATTAAACGTTGAAAGGATTTGTGATATTGTTGAAATAAGTCACTTCAATTCTTTTATTGCCTCACTTTTCACAAATTCAAGTCCCTTTCACGACATCCGAAACTTTTTGCAAGCAAAGCGAGCAATCTCACAA